ATTATGGAGAAATATTGATAAGAGAAGATGGAACAGGTTTACGGGAGTTTCGAGTTTGTGCTAATTGATGGCTTCTTTGTTTCATATAAGTTAGTATCGTTTCACGTAAATTTTGGCATAAACTTTAAAGTGAAACGAAGAGTATGTCATTGTGAAGTATTATGAAAGAAGTGGAATGGGAATGGTATTAGAGAGTGTGTTCTTTTTTATATTATTCGTAATGAGGTGGAGTACTGGCATAATTGGGTTGTATATTCTTCTGGATAGATGCCACATTTATGTGCGTAGTATCCTCCTATATTTTTAAATTGTAAATTAATAAAAACAATGGTTCTAATGGCTAGAGAGTACATAATATTTACGGGTAAATAAAATGGATAATCTCATCAATATCCGGCTTGTGTACCATTTAAAAAGTTTTGTAGATGTCGGAAAAAAGTATTGGAAATTAGAAAGTGCCACAAAGTTAACAATCGCCGCACTGTGTGCAGCATGCAACATGCAGAGATTTTCACAGTTCCTGAAAAATTTTCTAACGTTACAAGCAGTAAAATTTCCAGCTAGCAAGGGAGCGAGCATGAAAACATCATATATCCATCCGTTGCCATGGGTACACAGCGCATGTGAGGAGGATCAGCTATAAATTTTTTAATTCATATTTCAATAAGACTTTTCGATCATATGAATTCTTTCATATACTTTACATTCCGCATATCGTTTGGTTTCATTCTATCCTCATTATTTTGCTTGAACATTAGTCAATCGTTCAAGATTTCATTTGGGCATAAAACAGAAATTTTTGAGTTCATAGTTCAGTTATTTCTGTGTTCTCGTATTATTGAATCTTCTTCTGTTAAATTATATATTATCAGGTATAAAGTATGCAAATGTCTCAATACTAGCAAGATAAACATATAAAGCGAGATGGAGTGGGATGAAGAAGCTCCAGTACAGAAAATTATCAAAATAGTGGTATGTGGTGATGGTGCTAGTGGTAAAACGTCACTTTGTGTACGATTTGCCCAGGATAATTTCGGACGACAATATCAGCAGGTTTTGAACTTTTCCATCCTTCTTAAATCACTAGTTCTTTGGTTATGTGATATAAAAAGTATTTCGGGTCATGAATGTTCTCGGGTTGCTTAATTTTTATTTCGTGAATTTCGGATAGTTTTTTTTTCGCTGGTTGTGATGTGAATCCTGTAACAAAATGTTTGCAGACTATCGGCCTGGATTTCTTTACCAGAAGGTTAACTTTGCCGGGCAATGTTTCTGTCCTTTTGCAGGCGAGTAAATTTAATCATTTTCTTGTTAAATATAAAAAAAATTTAAGCTCTGCCGACAGAAATAGATTTAGACAGTCATTGGACCATTTTAATGTCGACGGAGTGTTATAATCATTCAATATAAAATCTTTGTCCCAAAAATTCAGTTTTTATTTGGATAGTGCATAACTAATAATTTGTAGATTTGGGATATTGGAGGACAAAGTATTGCAAGTCCAATGCTTGAAAAATACATCAACGGTGCACACGGCGCTGTTGTTGTTTACGATGTTACTAACAGCTCTAGTTTTGAAAATTTGGAAGACTGGATTAATATCATCAAGCAAGTTACCAAAGCTCAGGAAAAAGTAAGTATGCAAAACAAAAGTTTGCTTCTCGAAATTTACATAATGTTTTGATGTCGATTCCATTCTTTTTTTTAGAAGCTGAGAACAACAGATATGGTGCTCATATTAAATTAGCACGATGTTGCAAACTGATGTAACATCATTCCTACACAGATTATAAAACAAAAATTATATAAAATGAAACAGATTTTACCCATTTCCACTTGCAATCTTTTACGAAACGATTAACAACTTAAAGATACGTAAAGGCAATAATCAAATTCCATCGTATGGTAATGTAATTTTCTGCTAAATGTTATTAAACAACGTTTTCAGTTTGTGGCTCAAGTTTTTAGCATATTTCAGCCAATTGTACTGATGCTTGTTGGTAACAAAACAGATCTGGAACATCGTCGAGTCGTTCGTATTGAAAGGCATACCAAATTCGCATTGCAATATGGAATGTCCAGTTATTACGTATCAGCGAAAACTGGTGACAGTGTCATGCTTATGTTCAGGTAAATTTCAATACCTTATTCTATCTGAGTAAAAGTTAATCGTAATCCGTCTAATAAATGAATTCTGCAGCCCAGGTTATAGGTTCGTTTGTGTTGGTTACTCAAGTGCGATTTTCTTTATTTTTTTAAATTACATATGTATATCAAACCATTTCCTTGTGAAGCACTCCATACGTACGTTTCTTCAACCAAAAAAAATCTGCATAATATTTAATTCTCAAAAAAGTGTAAATTTATAGGAAAACAGCTGCTGAAATCCTTGGAATCCCGTTGGAACAAAATGACATAGAAGGAGATATCATTGTTGTGAAAGCTTCTGTTACAACACCAACGGAAGCAGAATCAAAAGCATCACAGCGACAGCTGCGCGCTGATCAGTCTCATAGTACTACTGTTTGCTCAGTGATGTGACTTCTGTACTATTCCTACCTTTACTCACAAGCATTTTCTGCTACATATTTTTGCATAAAATTCCCTCGTTTTTTGCCAGCATATCAGGACTTCCCTGCAGTACTGTCAGGAAATGCGGTTCTTAAACACCTAAATACCAATCAGCATTGTATATCTTTTGAATCTTGACAGGGTCTTTTTCTGCTATTGGAGGTACATTTCACTATGAAAGATTGAGTGTATAATATCATCTTGGTATTTCAAACTCCCAAAAACAAGGGGAAGAGATATTGGTCAGCCTCATTCTTTTTTAACATCGATTAAATAAATAGATGTAACGGTGATGATTGATTCCAAAAGGTCAATTCACAGTTTAAGTGGAATATGCAAAAAAATTCCCCAGAGGACACCATCCAGCGTTAAAGCCTTCATACTAATTTTATCACCAACCAATATAACCCAACGGACAGATCAATTTCATCAGGCACACGTACTGAACCGCGGAGACCCAAATCGGCGTAGTTGGTTTGCGAAGTGACTGTTTCGGAAATAAGGTGCGTAGATATCCCAATTGGTGTCATGAGTGTACTGGATAGCTATGATGAGGCGTGATAGAACATACGTAGACGACGTATTTTCTGATTTTCTGACAAGGTAAGACTAACAACTGATAAGGTGTTCTCACATATCACGATGAATACTTGATGGTTCAATGGTTAAAATTCCATAAAGTGGTATGTGATTAGTTCATATTTGCATAAATTTAATGTGAATATTGATAGCGAGTATATAAATAAGGAAGAATGAAATGTAAATGGTATTGTTATAATATTAACGTTTGTTGTTCGATGAAAAGTTTCCTTTGCTGAAGTTAGTCTTCACTGTTTAGAATCAAGTTTGATTCGTTAATGTTAACAACATCCTTTAGTAGCACTTGTAGATTCACTAATCGTTCTTTCCTTTTTTTCGTTCCTGAATTTTCTGTATTTTTTTTTGGTTATAATATTTTTAGTAATTTCGCAATATTTTTATTTCCACATGTTTTTTCTGGAATTGTCTTTGTTAAGTTTATGAAGCTGAAAATTTCGAGGATGTAAATCTAGAAGACATCTGTTATTCAAGTATGATAATGATGGGTCAATTTCGGACTGATAATGAAAATGTTCGGAAACTTTAAAGTAGATGCTAGAGTAGGCAGAGAGTAAGTGAAGAATACTTGTTATGGTCGGTTAAACTTAAAGCCCAGTTGGATACATGACAGCAGTAATCTTATTATAGGAATGAGTAAAAGTTAAAATATCTTACTACGTTTTCAAATATCACTTCCATTAAAATTATATTAGTTAGTGGAATGCAGTTCGTTTTACTGTCATAATAGCGACGTAGAATATGCTTCAAGGGGGATAAATCCAGCAGTGATTAAAGAGAGGATGGTCGAATGGAAAGATACCGGTAAGGTGGATCATAAATTCTAGACCTGAAGTTTTGCTCTAGAATAAAGGATATCGTTAAGGCTATTTAAAATATAAAAGACTGCGTTTGTTACTTGGGAAAATCATTATTGTAATGGTACTTAGTCACTGTGAGAAGAATGCTGAAGGGAAATTGAAATGATTTCATCCTGTATTGGTTATCTAATATGGTAATATTGTCGATGAATCTAAATCTAACATTATTCCGTTTTGTACTTTGTTGCATTTTGTTTCAAATTGTTTCATGCGTGAAATTTAAAAGATATTCCGTTCTTTGTTTTTTAAAATAAAGTGGCTCCTAGAAATGCATATCTTTAATTTTTAATTTTTATTTTTTAATTTGCATATCAAGTATGCAAATCAATGTATAAGAAGTTCTCATTTGTGGCAAAAAAATAAAAATAGTTAAGCAATAGTTTTAGCTTTAAATATATAATTTTTGTTTTCCTAGAAAATAGCTTTGTATAACAGGTTTCTTATTTCTCCAGTATTTCAAAAATCTCCAGGTTCAGTTCTAGAATCATTACACCATTCTCTGCGATCAGCAGAACAGAGCGACATCAGAGGATGGTGTAGTGGTTTGGTGTACCGATGAAATAAAAAAGGGGAAATAAATGGATTACTTTACAGTATCAGATAAAGATTAAATATTCTACAACCTCTGGTGAAATTTAATTCGAGCACGGAGAAGCTAATTCTTTGTTGTTCATCCATAATTTTGAATCTACTTACTCTTTACTTTTCTTTATTTGCTTTGTACTGCTAATAAGAGTCATTTTCCGGAATTAAACTTTTCTCAACCTTATTTCTAAAATTCTTATAGCTCTATCGGTTTGTCAGTTTGCGTGATTGTTGTATATCCATTCTTCCATTCCTTCATTACGTGTTTTAATTCTCTGTATATATGTTGATGACTTTTTAGATTCTATTGCTTTTTGAGATCCTCATACAGTACAATGTTTTTTCTCTTTGACTTACTCATAACTTGTCTTATGATGAATTTCATGTCATAAAATCATGCTTTTCAGTAATAGATAGCTAATGGATTTATTCAGTGATTTTATTTCAAAAGCTGAACTGATGAGCACCATAGTATCATTATGAGCTTTATTAGCTTTTTATTAGTGAATAAGACCAGATAGATGTTTCAACGCATTCTTAGTGATAGTATAATTCTACAAAAAATTTTTATGCTTGTCACAGATTACAGGATTTTCTTCCTTAATTTGAGAACGATTGATGAATTTTGATAAACTGAATCATGGATGACGAAGTAACTGTACAATCTGTTCGAAAAAACTTTTCGACTGATGAGCTTTTGAGACTTTTAGCCTATTTGGAAGGCGAAGTCCAGGCTCGTGATATCGTAATAGCTACGTTAAAGGTGAAATTTCTTTCGTTCTTTAGCTTCTATAATTACTGATGTTTCTTAACTATCTGTAACTGGAATACACTTAACCTTCGCGCTGGGCAGATCTTTTTGCTAAATTAAAATATCATTAGTTTTAAAAATTTCAGTCAGAAAAAGCGAAGCAATTGTTACATGAGGCCAAATATGGACAACTCGCGGGCAGTGATCCAGTCAAAGCCTTGCAACGTGATTCCAGTTTGACGGATGAAGGAAATGAAATTGACGAATCTGAAATTGGACATATGTACGAAACTCAACTGACGCAACTGGAACGGTTAATTACTGTGCAGCGGCAGTGTCACAATCGTTCGAAACAAGTATGTTTTGAATTCGAAGCCATCTAATAAATGCACTGATACGCACCTGTTTATTTCATATGATTTTCTTTACTAAGAAGTGGCCCAGAAAAATTTGAGAATAAGCCAAAAATTAAAAGCAAATTACACCCACTCAGCACAAGTTTCCTGACAAGTGTGGTAGGAGTGTGGCTACTCTTTGTGAACATGATAGCGCAAATGATTCGATTAAATTCAAATTAAGCTTAAGTCAACCTATTAGAAACTTACCGAATTCCTAGCGGATTTAAAACAGTTGAACTGTGGAACCAAATCTTATTAAATGCATAAAGCAAAAGTTCGTACAAAGTTCGTACAAAAGTTCGTAAATTTTTATTCGTACGAAAAAAAAAAACTCAATAAGCGACGAATGATAGTCTTAATATAACTTTTTCTTGTTTTAATAAAAATTTTGTCTTCCGGTCATGAAGGGTTTTGTTTTCATTCATTTTAGTCATTGCTGGTTTTAGATCTTAGCAGCTACAGAGAAGCGACATGCACGCACTTTGCGAGAGTTAGATGAGGAAAAACAGCGTTCTGCAGCGGATGCTGCACAGGGTGATGATCTTTGTGTCCTTCTAGAAAATGAACGAACTCGCCTTCGTCAGCAAGTGCGTTTTATAATTCCAGGAATGTTCTCTACTCTTCTTTCGAATGAGAATATCTTTTATCAATTTTTTCTCAATCCTTATGTTTATTTTTTTTTTTTACTGAGTAAGTTAGAAAAATTAGAAGGTCGAATTACCCAATATGTGAACCTGATGAGATTCCAATTATTTATTATCACATATCAGTGGTGATAGGTATAAACTACATTGAATAATTTGAGACATCTTACCTCTTCATCTTTCGTCTATTAGATTAATTAAGTTAGACAACGTATTTCCTTAACTTTCATTTGGCAGAATATAAGCTGATTTGTATTTAGATTCTGCCAAACGATTCTGCCGAACATGCTTAGAAAATTGGTTGATTCGTGTTTTATTTAAGCTGGAGTATGAACAAAAAGAAGGTGAAAAAGCTCGTAAGGAAGTGGAAAGACTGGAAAAAAAATTGAGGGATGAACAAGAACATTACAAATCGATGGTGTTGTTCTTGGTAAATGAACGGAAACAAATGTTGTTTGATTTGCATGAATTGAAAGTTCAAAATGGTCGCGGTAATTGATTTCCTAATGATATAAATTCTCAAAATTATAAATTTATCATGCTTACAAAGACTTCACTTTTATGCATAAATAATATTGAATATATTTACAGGTTCATCCTACGCTCAGGAGACAGCGTTGCTTGCAGAGATGCGAAAAGAAGTAACTGCCCTACGTTCGGAAAAAGATCAACTGCGTACGGCTCTGGATGCAGCTCTTTCCGAAGTGCAAACCCTCAAAGAGGTCATCTTACACTTTTTAAGTCCCATCGATCGACTGAAAGTTTTTTGTTTCGGTAAAGGTTCACATTTATTAAGTTTCAGGTTGCGAGAAATCAAGAGGAAGACTTGTCCTTAATGCGTACCAATATACTTGCTAACACGCGAAGTTACGCAAATAATGTGAGCATTTATTAATTACTGGCAAAGCTGTGAATTCAAAGCAATTTCGTACTAGACTCAGTTGCAAACCATTTTTTTTCAAAATTCTGTCTTATGAAATGACAAAAATTAAAGTAATCACGCAGTAAATACTCTACAATTGTTAATTTTGAAATATGATAATACAGCTTCCACTTTCATAATTAAAGCCTATATTGAATATTTTATTTAGATAGTTTTCATTACCTCGAAGTTCACATGGTAGCAATCTGCAAGGCCTTAGCTCCTACGCTACATTCTTTAACAAATGTCAGGAAAATTACCATTATTTGCTAACTTATCCTTTCTTTAGTTACGATTTTCCGATGACGGCTCTGTGGTCGTAGCAAATAAAGGTGTTTCGAACGCTTTGCCACCATCCAAAAATCCAGCACCAGGCTTATCGCCAGCAGTGAGTGATTTGAGGCATCCAATACGACCCCGACTTACCACTTCCTCGACTTTCCCAGCCAGTAATCGATTTCCTCAGAGTCGTGTTCCTCTTCCAGCACCATCTCACTTGACCTCATCAGTTGCTCCACTTCCTCCTGCAAAGTTAGCTTTTTGAAACACACTTTCTGTCAAATTATCATCTAGTTAATTCAGGTTAATAAATTCAATCAAAGAGCTCATTTTTAACTCCAAATTTTCATTATTTTTCTTTCAGAAAAGTTTGAACTCCCGAAACCTCAAAATTAATATTCAGTATTTGTCTTTAAGGAAAGGACAACATCCTGTAACAACAGCACGGCCAGTGACACTGTCAACAATGCGCGGTAATAATAATCATTCGTCATCGCGTGACCGCGAGAGGATGTCCAACTCATCAGATTCCTCAGAAAAGAAAAATACATATTCAGCTGAACCTGAAATTGAGCATTTGGGTGCAGTAATCGAATCAATGAACACAGGTGCGTGAGTCCTAGTTAGAAATCAAATGGAAAGGCACATTTTAACTCAGCACTGTAATGAATCTGAGTTCCAGTAATATCAGGAACCCCACTTTCAAGAGAGTTGGTCACTCACTCATGCGGCATGTGAAAGCTAAATTTCAGGCAAGCGAAGCGCTTCTTTGCCACGGAATGGCAAAAATGGGGTCATTGCTGGATCACAGGCACGTAAACCTGTTTCATCAAAATCTGCTGTCACTGCCAGACGTAGCACAATTTTCAAAGCTCTCGGTGTAACAACACGAAATGACAAGAACGGCACATAAAGAATAAATTGTAGAAATTCTTTGTAGAAAGTTAAAACGCATTTGTTTACCAAAGGCAAAGCATACATCTTCGTAGCTGATGGAAAAATGAGGGCATATGTTTTTCTAAAAGTTAGCTCTAACATCTTTTTAGGGTGTATTGGAAGTGTAGTTCCGGTCCACTATCTTTTAGCTTGTGATATATATTCTCAAATTCAGAATAAGACATTTTTGAAGACATCGTGTGCTTGAGCCTTCAGTTTTTGTGTTTCCGAACCAGAAACCTGTAAATAATTCTATGTGCATTATAACTAGGTGACTCTGCAGGGTCGGCTAATTAGGCAGCTCACCAAACTACCCGTGGTTTATATTCTTACTTGTACATGTAACAATATTAATCAATTATTGATGATGAACAAAAGATGATTTCGATTAACATATAAAAATAACAATTTCTAGCGAGTTAATTTAAGCAAATTGGAAAATATAAGTTTTTTCATGGAACAGCTGAGCTTCTTCGCATAAAGGAACTCATGCACATTTTATTCTCCGATGGGAGGTGGTATACTTTTTGGCATTATAGCTGATTTCCAAACTTCTGCTTTAGCGGCCCAGTTCGTGACAGGGAGATCCTGAAAAATTTGTTTCATATGAAGATTTCGAATACATTCAAAAGATGCTTTTTGGTCTCTGACATCCCATGGAAATTTGACATTCACCTTCGAGCTGTTGATGCATTGTAGTACAAAGTGACGGCACTGCCACCCGTCTGTGTGTCGGCTTGTATCTGATGCAAAAGTACACCAGTTATGATGCTGTTTCTCAACATCAAAAAAATATCCTCTTAGAAGCCATAACCCTACTGTCCTATTGCAGTACACACAAACTACAGCATCGTCCAAATATTTGCTGCAATGAGTAACGAAATGTAGCAGTTTCTTCTTGAAATTTGAAACATTTCAAAAGCAAGTTAGATTCCTACCATACCGCAAGTCGAGCAAAACTTGCAACATGAAATGGGAAAGCTTAGGTAGTGCTTAAACAGTAAGAGGTGTGTCAAAAGCTTCAGTCAAACTAGATAGATAGAGCCACGTACAATCCAATACGACCAAATGAATGGTCCACAAAAACAATGGGTAGTTTGTATGAGACGAGCTAAGACTAGTACTATAAGTCTCTTGAGATTGAGCACTGTTATACAGGGAGCGTTTTATAAATTTGCGTCACCAGAAAACGGCTGACTGTAATGATCCTGTTACTTTTCTCCACAGTTAAAAAAGTGGAAGTGAACCTTTTTTGCCACCCAAAACAAATGAGTGCTTTGCATTTTTGTTCGGTCGTTTGAAGAACCATAGTTGACGAAATTTCAGGAATATTCACTTTAATTTGCTCAAAATCAAGCCCTTTCATGATTTCACACCTAAAATGAACTGATGGTAATTATAGTTATATAACGGTTAACGATATTATATTTATATGGTTACGGATTGATGCGCTTAAGATCATTCACTCCATTGTTCTTTTCTTCATGTTGAGTTTTTCACTTCTCCGTCATAATGCTCACTTCCATATGTCATAAAGTGCAAAATAGAGATGATGAAGGAATGGGTCAGATCCTCACCGGTTTCTGGTCATTCCATCTGTTCTAGTTCTCCCATAAATTTGCAGTGAGCGTGCAGATATATATAAAGATGAGTGTAGAATTCCGTCACAGCACTCTTCAACCTCATCAATGTAATAACAAGTAATGAAAGATGTAAATACAGATAATTTGAAAGTACCGATATTGAGTGAACAATCATTCAAAAAAAAAAGATTTTTTTTGAGTACCATTTTCTTGCATCATCACTCACTCCAAAAGAAAAATCATTACCCCTTCTCAACTTAGTGTTCTCCACTTGGATGAGTTTGAAACAGAACGTTTCAAAGTATTCTATCGAGAATGATTTTAAAAAGATGCATGTTGAGATGTCGAGTCATATTTGTACTGGCACATAAACTTTTGATTAAATAATCTTACCCTACTTTGTTACTAAATACTGCCTGTTAGCTCGGTTGTCCCTAGAGCAGGAGATAGCTGCCGACAAATATCGTGCACAAACATGTTCATTCATACATCATCAATGAAGCTCTCTCATGCCTAGTTAGTAATAGCGCAAACTCTGTTTTATTTGCAGCTACACAAATAATTTTGATCTGCATGCTATGAAGACATATAGGAAATTTTGACCTACGCTAATTGTAAAATTTCGCTTATTGCATTCATTTTAATTCTTCAACAAAATATAATTACCTGCGATTAACAACGTCTTTGCAGAGAGCGTTCAGTGGTATGGCATCGTCTGTACCAGAAGAAGTATACCTATACGGACATGTAACATGATGTTTCATAGTGATCATGGAAACAAGCATTCTGAAACAATATGACATTCCATTTTGGATTTAACGAGCTTTAATGATTATTGATTAAAAAAGCAGCGTCTATTCGAGGAAAGAATAAAGATAAATATGGATAAGCTCGAAGAATGGATAAAGAAGCAGAGGAGATGAAAAAGATAAATTTTGTAAAATGATGAATAAGCGAAATCTACAGAGACCTGAAACAAATTTGCATGTGTAAAGAAATACCTGACTGATTTCTGATAAACACAAATATTAGCATGCACCAGCGAGGGTATCAAAATACTCATATATTGACCACATGTCTCACAGTGCACCATATCTGAAGATACACAAACCCATCCATGCAATGCAAACATTAGAGGTGACAATTTCTTCGGTTTCCCAGCCCATTTCACTGGCTGAAAATATGGCTAACAATAACACATAAATTAGCTATGTCATACGACATAATATATTCCTGAAAAAGTTACGACGCACAAGACAAAGTTCTACTCCGAATTACTTCAGGACTGCTAACATCCACTCCAAAGTAACTTCATAAACAATTCGATCAGAGTTCATGTCCTGTTAGGAAAAATTACTATGTTAACATACGGTGAAAGAGTCTAGTCGTTTCCTGATACGTGCATCCAGTTGATCGCATGCCGATCGGCATTTTCCATTCGTAGATAGTCTGAAAAAGCAAGAGGCTCACCAGTAACCTCATGAACACTTTTGAATGAGGTAAACGAACCTTTTTACCTTACATTTATACTTCATAAAAAAGCATGCTGTCATTGGCGTTGATCTGACTATCTACTAATAAGCATAGTGCATTTTCAACAACTTGGAACAAGCACCCAAATCAGTTAGACATACCGGCGTTGATGAGCATAGGCTTGTTCATGAGCCTGCTGGAGAAGTTTCGAAGCATTCTGTTTCAGTCTAGTAAACTGATCTTCCTTCTTCATATCCATTCGTGCTACACTTTAACATAAATCCCTCAACTTACCATAAATATTTTCGTTCACAAATGAAGCATTAATCACTGAACAGCGGGCAAAAATCAGCATTGCCAACCTATACCAGAAGAGGTAGAAGATAGCCGGTAAAAGAAGTCGTATTTGTGCAATTGTGTGAGTGTTTCCGGACGGGGTTCGATACTGCCGTATGTTTTATTGTTCACTTAATCTGACGCAGAGAACTGAATTGGTTCGAGGATTGTAAACGGACGTTTACGCAGTATGGTCTTAATCAGCGTAACAAGGATTTCACTACGAAATATTGTTGAGCTTGAAAGGTTCATATCGACATCGTGTCCATTTCAAAAGAACACCGCTGGGAAGTATAGGGTACCTTTGTTATTTTCTATTAAAGTAGGCCAAATGATTTAAAAGAAACATGATCTTTTGTTGGACATTACGGGATGAAAGAACAGTCACTTACTGTTATTCAGAAAGTATAAATGGTTACATTGCATTAGTGACAGTGTCGGATGATTACAATAACTCTCATTCAGACAACAAGTGGACGAAAGCAAATGCTTACATACGAAATGGCTCACCGACCTCATCATATTGGAGTTAAAAAATCGTGGTTAGCATGGCACTCACAAAATTTGGAAACGTTCAGGCAGCGACAACCTGTCGTGGTATGTTACATTTCAAAGCCGAGAAGCCTGTTGGATCACTGATCCTTTCTATAGATGCGAGAAACTTGATTTATATTGAAAATATGATTAAAAGAACAGGATAATTGCTGACTGCTGTAACCGATTTTAAATTAGGTATTTCCAAATTCAAAAAGATATTTTAGATAGCACAAGATGATATTATTCGTCGATTCGTGCGTGGTTTTTTCCCAGACTACATAACCACTGATGGAAGTGAGGTCGGTTTCATGCTTATTTATTGCTCTTTAATTAGTTGCCATGTTAAACTTATGTCAATATGCAGCTACTATTCCAAAAATTTATATATGCTTTGCAGCTGGTTATCAAACGGCAAGGGAATTGTGTCCGTGTAGCAGGATTCTTTCACTATCGGAACAGATTAAACATACGTGAGATATATTGGATGTTTGGATTTACTGAAGAATTTCTCTCAATTCTGCTCAAACAACCAGTGAAGTTGGAGATCCAATTCGTGGCCGATGAAAAAGACTTAGCTTATAACTATATATGATTGTTGTGTTTCCCCTTGAAATTTATACATAATTGCTAATTATATTTCTCCTTTTGAAAAAATTATCACTATATTGTGGTAGCGACAACTTTTGTACTTAACAAATTGAACAAAATCCCAAATGAAATTTATCTTATTCCCTGCTTTCAATTGCTTCTGATACTGGAAGAAACCATCCTGACGATGTGTGGGTCAAACAATTTGTACAACTGCACGGGGTCCAAGAAATTCGTTGTTAAACCAACCTAGACTTTGTCCAAACTGCGAATGTCACGAAGTTCTGCTCGCGAACTCTTATTTCGAATATTTCCGAAATAGTCCCGAAGATCCTGAATTTTATTTCGACGCATCAAACTTCCCTACTTAATTCATTAGAAATACTATCCTGGTCAAACTGCTGACTTTAACAAGTTTTCGGTTTGAAGATAAAATACGCACTAGTACTGCCAGCACTGTTGACAGTTGAGTAAATTCCCAAATGAGAACTGAGTTTTTATAGATGATACATTTATTAAAAAAATAATTTGCGGGGACTAGAACGAAAACAGCGCAGCCGAAATGGGCAGTTTATTTCCTAAGTTCACTTGTGACTGCCTAGTAAACAATCTGTCCGCAGATTACGATGCAGAAAAAGAAAAACAACAATGAACGCTGAAGAATTTACTAACGATAAAATGCTCTGGAATACAATTGGTTGGAGCCAATGTAGCCTGCTCGCTACATCATCCAATCGTGACAGGAGTTGGAAGAAAAATGTTATACATTACACGGCCTGTAAGAATAAAACGATGCTTGATGTGAAGAGGTGGACAAATAATACAAGCACTTGAGCATACTAAATTTGATTTCTGCAATATCTTGCACAACAGAAATTTTATCACAGTACAGAAAATCACGAGTTCTCTGCAAAAGAAAAAATAATTTCGATGACGAACCAACATACCATACAAACAGTAATGTTTAAACAGTGGCAAGAAAAACAAGCATTTGGCCACAATTTCAATAACGAGGAAACTGACACGAAAGCCACGAATTTTTTAGATTCAAAAAAATGCACAATATACATTACGACACTTTCAACTGACAAAAGCAATTTAAAACCTCGTTCCTCGTTTGTTTCAAACAGCACTTTGAAAATAAGTCGCTGCTGTACACGACACTTTCGAAACTTCGGTGAAGCATGAAAAATTCACAGAATTAGAAAGAAAAGCAATTAAAATAAATTTCCCCATAAAAATACAAATTATAAGCGACAGCTAAAATACAACCAGATTCACTTTATTTCATCGCTTGGAAACGTATGAAAAACCGGGTGGAGGCATCATCCACTGTTGTGGATGAGAATAGGAATTTATGGATGGTACCGGTGGCGGAGCGGGTGACGCCATTGGGTTTAAGAGTTGTGCCGACATCGGCATCGATTGATCATAATTTAGAGTGGACGAAAATTGATTGGTGGTGCGTTGCATTTCCATAGGTGATGTTCGACTAGGTGGGTAACCTACAATAACTTTAGCTGACTGACTTTAAATCTAAAAAAGTAAATTCATTCACAAGAAACAACAAAAAATGGCTTACACATGAAATCGACCCTAAAAAATGCACTTAATACTGTAAATGCAGAGGTGACAAACCTGCAGCACTAAGATCGGGTACAAAGCGAACATTTACATTCGGTAACAGCGCCCGAAAACCTTCTTGCCATTCTTGAAGCTTTGTGCCATCAATCTGGTTTGTTGCAGCCAGAGAAACGTTTGAATTATACTGTGTGTTACTGCTGAAGGAAGGACATCGATGTGGCTGTGCTGAATTGAAGGCTAAATTAGCGCATGGATTCACGAAATTGTTGACTCGAGCTATCTGGGGTTTTGAAGGTGGGAAATGCGGATGTGGCGAATATTGATTAGTGTGAAATGCAGATGACAGTTGTTGGCTGAATGTCTGAGGGATTTGCGACGAAAGTTTTACTGGCTGCGAAAAACAATCGACATTTGTGAAATTATTCGTCGCCGTTGTTGTTAAATTAACATCTGTTCCAAGCGCATTTCTCATCGACATCGGGGAAGCGCCATTCGAAATACCCATTGAAGGCCAACCACACTGCAGACCCAGTGACATCAGCGATGATGATACAGATGTCATTCCTCTAACGCTAAAAATTATCCAAATCGAAAGCTATTTGAAAAGACAGAACATACATTAACCATTTAAAAATAACAAAAAGACTTGCTATTCAAATGTTCATAGATAAAATCAAGCAGCTGAAGAAACAGAAAACACAGATAACGAAAAACAACAATCCTTACTTCTGTGTTGAGCACTGCGGCAAAATCGTTTTCTCTTCCTCCAGCAAATCTGCTAGACCTTTTGCCGACTCCGAAATAGGATCAAAGCCTAAAATTTTTATATTTCAAATCCAATTTTAACTTACAAATCTGATATTGAACCCATCTAGCATCGATTTTTGGCTCGTCTCTCCAAATCATCACGAAATGCACTCTGAGTTAGACAACTTCGATATACATATGTAATTTAAAAATTCTGGTTCCAACACACAAAAGCATTAACAAGAGGAATTTCCAAAGAAAAGTTATGGAAATTCTTAGAAACAAAGTGAAAAGTAACCTAAATCATCGTCACTATGTACACTGAGACGTGTGCTTTTCGGCAACATTCTAGTCTGTGAGCTAGAAAATGCTGTCGGAAAATCAGTGGTCGCATTCTCTGCTGTCAAATTATCAACTTTGCTACATATTCCTAGAGCACGTTGCCAATCACATGATGCAGTTTCAGTTGTCGATTGTGTACTATTGGTGTTCTGCACCGCTTTTGCATTGCTCACATCCACTTTCTCCTAATTTAATAATTTGTATTGATGTAAGAACATTAAAAAATTGTAAAAACTACTGCTGAACTGAACGTCGTAGGGAACCATCAAAAATCAGAAACAATGCAACTTTAATGAAACTATCTCGTAAATTAAGGCAGCGCGACTAATAAACACAACAATTGAACACCGTGAATAACATTGATCTTGATAACGCTACCGTACCCTCAGATACATCCTCCAAAGCCATTTCAGAAAAAGATTATAATACCAATCACCAACCACCAAATTCGTTTCATCTACCAACAGATTATGTTAATGGTAACTAAAAATGATACAAATTATGAAAAGTAACTAACACTTAAGAACATTTTCTCTATCGAAGCACATGTGGTAGCAGTGAGTGGCACAACACTCTGACTAGATGAAATCCATTCTGACAACCGAGATCTAAATTGTTAAGCATTTAATTCCACGCATTTCGTCTAACTGAATTAATGCTTAGTTTTTAATTTTTCACAACTCAGATTTAAAACTCTACTCCAAACCAATACAAAAAGCAAGACAATTTCAGAGCATTCTTTAGAAAATTTAGAGCCAAGATTTGTATCAAAATCCAACCTTTCTAAAAGAATGTCATGAGAAATTCTCGATTTTGGAAAAAAGTTCATGTTAACTATTTTTTAACCTATGTAAACCCATATCTTTGATACCCAGCTTTTTAGCTGAAACGAAAAGAAAAGAACTGAAATTACAAATAAGATAACAAAAGACGTAGATAGGAAAATTACTTTCTCCTAATCACTGTCAGTTATTCCAATCTTTACTTCTATACTTGATACGAAATCTGAAATACAGATGTCATCCAAGAAAAAACAAATCATAATCCACTACATGTTATTTCTCCATCAGTGCTCCACAAAACTTGCCTTGAACCAATCCCTTCATTAACTTTTGCTGAAGGTATCACTGCTTGCTGTTCAAGCACCACTGACGATGGTGCATCATTTGTTCTTCCCAAAGTTTTCTCAAGCTGAGATCGAACCTAAAATTTCGCCCTGAGAAATGCAAAGTTAAACTGTTAAAAGAATCAATAAAAAGCAAAATGATCACTTACAATTTGGAACAAACAAAAGGATCTGTTGTCTTTTTATTAATCCATTCTCCAAAAAAATGAAGACTGTGATCTTCGTATAATTCAACTCAAAAAAAGGACAAGCAACTGTGAAGCAACATAGGCCAATATCACTAATAAAAATTTGACAAGAAAATAATACTAACTTCATTCTCTTTATCAGCACCTTTATTCTCACTAATCAGTTTATTATTCGTCACAGAACAATGCTGATTTGCAACTACTTCTCTGAAAAAAGCCGAAATTACTTATCAAAACTGCTGATTATCATGTTGTACTCTATCAGAATTATTGAATTATTCAGTTACAATCTCAATGGTAGAGACAAAGTAAGTTCGGCAGAATAATACAAATATTTTGAAAGAAGCTTAGAATGCCAACTTTGAAACCACTTCTTTAAATTTCTGTAAGTTTTACCAAAAAATGGACAAATGTTGGAACAGCATTTTGCTGTGACTGTGACATAAGGAAATATCGCATACAGTTATGGGAAGCAGTTTTAACTAAAACCCATTTCACAAAACGTATGAAGATAAGCTTATCAGTTTGCAAAACTAAATGCATTACTTACCCATTTATTTGGTTTATCTTCATATTTTTATCAGCTGATGGTGATCTGCTTTGTGAAAATTTCCCTTTGTCCTGACAATTCTGCATCGGTACTGAGCAAAACTCTGCACTACGCTCCGCGCTTTCATTTCTAAAATAAAAATACACAGAAAGAAATTACACAGCTGAAAGGGCATTAGAAGTAAATATAAATAAATGAGCAACGGAGAAAAAGATTTCATTAATCTTCAAGATTTTCACTTTTATAATCTAATTTGCTGCACACTAATAAAAAAAATGTTAGCTCTTTATAACGCATGTCAGAATTCAATGAAAATATAAAGCTTGTCAAACGACAGTTGTTGAAAATTTCAGAACGAAGTTTTGGATTGAGCAAACGAAAAAAGTGTCTGTCACAAGCATACATATGCTTACTTTGATGTTTTTCCACCCGTATTTGTCATAAACGCAGTCCTTCCACATTGACTTTTCTCCCTGAGAGTTGATTCAATCAATCGTTTTTCGTATTCCGCATGCCGTCCGAGATGCATATCATCTTTGGTAAAACTGACTTCTGTATCTGCCACATCATGCAAATACATACATTCCTATAACAAAGCATAAATTTTCACTGCTACAATCGATAAGCTTTTTTTTATAATCTTTTGCAATTTTCTCATAAAACATTTTTTTTGTACTTCGAATTCATATAGAATAAGCCTCATGTATATCATGAGAAATATTGCTGAAAAAAATTTCGAAAAATCAGAACATGCCAGACGAGTCATATCACTATATCGCAAAATAAACAAACCGGTTTGTAACATGGCTGACTGCGAAGGAAATTTGTACAATATTTTGTCGTTCCAAGTGATGCCTTCACAATACGTCCATCTAACTGTGCATTATTAACAGCCTACAATAAAAATGTGCAAAAAAATGTATGGATTTATATAAAAATCATAAGGATAGATTGCCTTTTATAATATTTTCCTTTTAAAAAACCGTAAGTAAGCGGTGTGAGACTTATAAGTACCGTTACGAAAGCTTCACATAATAACTTCTGAAATGCCAGAAAGGCAAACAAATAATACCCAAAACGCAAACCTGTATAGCTCTAAGTGCGTCTTCATATCTTGCATAAGTTACATAAGCTGTGAACGATGCCGACTGTGGACCGCTCAGTGATGGTGAAGATCCCACAGCAACCTACAGTAAGGTGATATTATGCACATAATCACCTAGGTTCCTTCATAATTTTTTTTCTCAGTGATATGAAACAACACCCTCAGGACTGACCTTCAGTATGCGGCCATATTTTCCAAAATATTCAGGTTTCTTTAAAATTTCTGGATCTGCAACTCTTGCCGACAAACCCACTACATACACAAGATTCTTTTGTAGCACCCTAAAAAGGGTAACGCTGATCGGTGGTTAAATTCGAGGTACTTGAAAAAAATACTTTTTGTAAGTCTCAAGGTTTCTGTAAATCCTTCTTCCATAGAAAACAAAACCTGTATGAGGAAAGATGTTTCCTAGATTCGCATATCTTGATTTTTTGCAGCTGCTGTTTTTGTCGCTTTTCTGTTTTCATCTTCTGAACATCTGAAGCAGTCAGAGGTTTAAAGTTGACAGGATCCTCTGGATATGGTTGCCTACATGCTGGGCATAATCCATTCTCATCAGTTCGCAGTCGATGCCAACAGAATCTACATATCTGAAATTAAAACTGTTGGATCATTCTGTCAGTATGTCTCGCTGCAATGACGCCATTATCTGTAAGATATGATAGTAAATAAACCTAATATGGCGAAATAAAATGTAATATTGCCATTATCAAACGAAGCCCACATTACTTAAAAAACCGTTTTTTCTTCGGAGTTAGTACACTAGTATATCTGAGAAACAAAAAATTAGATGATTTAGACAATATAAAAGAACTTTATTTCTACTTGATATTCACATTTGCACGGATAGAAATTGATATCATCGATTTCGAGTGCTTCCATGCATAAAGGGCACTGAAAAAGATTGCCGTTAAGGCCACTGCAAGCAAAATATACGAAGAATGACCGTGAATTATGGGAAGGAATAAGTCTGGACAGGAATGAGTCAGCATTTTCCGATGTTCGACAATGAATGATAACCAACTAACCAGAATACTTCAGAAGTACAGGTAAACAAAATGTTTTTGGGTGACACTAAATAATTAATGTGTGCAGTGCCATAATCAATTCATCTAAAGGAGATTAAATACTTATTCATGTGTTTTTATGTGAGGAGTATGTGAAATACAAGATTTTAGCTAGCCGCATCCTATCACAGTGAGATCAAAAAACGGAAACAAAAAAGCAAATACCTCTTTATCGGACTGTTCATCACTAGACATCCTTCCTCACCTTGTTTAATAATAACACACCTCGAAAAACTGCAAAAAACTTGTGTGCTCAATTTGAACCACATTCAACATTAACAGCTTTTATGCGGCTGTCACACAAAATATTCGCAATGACAAATGCTCTCCCATAAAAATGATGGCTTCTAATTCTTCCACTAGAAAACCGACTTTCCGAGAACTTTTTTCTTTTTAAACAACTTAAGCGGGATGTAAACGATGCCTCAATTTACGTACAACGAGAAAATTTAATTTCAAAAGAATTAATGTGTTGCCCTTGGAACCAATCCTTCCAGCCTCTTCAGGATTACAAGATCTTCGCCCGAATCTTCTGGTATCCCACAGTTATGGCAAACTGTGGAATACCAGAAGAAATGTTCACAACTAGACCGAAATCTCTCAAAGAAATCCAATCACTGCTGGATCGAGGTTTTATTCTCTCTGAGCACGGTGAAATGAGCAAATGCTTTCCAGAGAAATAGAATCTCCCACAACCCCGCCCACAGCAACAGCGGGAGAAAACAGTACTAATGGCCATGCCCACCTCCTTTCAAAATGCCTGGCACCAATCAATTACAATATTTCACCTCCAATGAGCTCTTTCCGCTGTGAAACTTTGTGTGTCCACGCTGTTTTGTGGAACGATTTAAAATAAAACTGGCCAAAGAGTAACTGATGTGTGGTTTTTCCGCCTCTGAAGTATTCTTGTCAAGTGTCGGCGTGTCCAAACTTGGTTTCCCACAGCCTTACCGCATTTTCCAGAAACTTCACTCACTGATGATTTGAATCATTTCCTGTCAGCTGAGTAAAGCAATTATACGTCTCCAACTGTGGTGGGAGTTATTTGCTTTTTTTTTTGTGTTTCCGTGTAAAAGGATTTCTTTCCGTCCTGCTTTTTTCACTACGATAAACTTATATGTTCTCTTTTTCATCTCCAATGTTTTAAGCGTGTTATTCAAAGGAGCGACGTTCGTAGATTCTGTGATACTACTGATTATGGTTTCTGTTGCTTCATTGGCTAATACTTCACAGCATCACGTAGTGAGTTATTTTAAATAACTTTAACTTTGGAGTTGTCATCATAATTTTCATCTTTTTTCTGTGGACAAGTTAGTACTTGTGAATGATTTGGCTGGTGGCACTTAATGCACCTTTCAAAAAGCCGGTTTCATGCTGGTTATAAATGATATGCTATTGATTCGTCCCCGGAAGAGCTTTGTGTTAAGTGGCGAATAATCTCAATTACTTTCAAAATATTAATGGGTTTATAATTTGTCGATTTGCAGATTTTCGAATACATAGAAAAGTTGAAAAATGATTGCAATGGTTGGAAGAACTGCATCGAAAAAATTATTAGCGGCTGGTGCGGATGCTTGTTCTTTGAGATTCTTTGAGATGATTTTAATTTTCGCAATTTTTTTCGCATAGCAATAGTGGTAGCTTGATTTTTCAGAATAACCACCATAAAAGAAATTTCAGTGATCCGGAAGAACACTTCATGCTTCTACAGGTAATTGAAACATATTTGACAGTGCGCTATGCGGATAATGACCAAGACCAGGATATTATCCGAAGATGGATGCATGGCTGGTTGCAACACTTGTAAGTTCAGCATTTGATACCATATCTTCAGCGAGTGATAGTCTTATTCTTTAAATTCCATATTTTTATTCCAGAAGTTCGCCTGGGAGTCAACCATCATATTTAGTGAACAAAATGGCTCAACTTTTTGCGTTGGTTTTTGCTGCCGATTTTCCAAATCGTTGGCCTAATTTCATGGAAGAGGCAAGTTTCTTTTAATCATCAACATATATCCACAGAGAAGCTTTTCCTTCTTTTAATGTAAATCAAAGAAAGGATTATTTCCACTCACTATTTTCTTTACTCCAGGTATTTTTCCAACAAATGGCATCATCACCTGAAATAACGATCTTTTTCCTGCGAACTTTGATTGCTATCGATTATGAGGTAGTTGATCGAGAGATTCGGCGTACCAAACAGGTATTGCAGTTTGAAGGAAGAAGATATCATTCTATTCCAAAAATTATTACCCAATCGGAATGTTTTCATCTCTATCATTAGGAACACAATTTATTACTGTATCAGTATGATATAAATAGTAAAGTAATAGTGCAGAATAAGAAAACAGACCAAATAAAAGATCTCCTAATATCAAAATATAATTTGCACTTTTTTCTGATTAGGTGAATTTACGTAAACATGGAAAACTGCAGTTTTCTCGTGAAAGAAACGTTGGTGAAAATTATCAAAACCTATTAAATGGGAGGCCCACTTAATACTTTTTGATTTTTCTGATCGGTTGCTCTAAACTAAGACCGCATTATAGAGCTTTGCATATTTTATGAATTCGTTAGAAAAAAATGTAATTGAAGAAGTAGACATTGTGCTATACTGTGACTTCAATTTGGAGACATTTATATAGGTGCTCTCGCAAAAGTTTGGAAAAAATGCATAAAAATTTTACTCAGCTCTGATTTTTTTCTACCGCATAAAAAGTAAACTTACTCAATTAAATAGAGTGTGCGTAATTGTTGTTGAAATAAAGTGTGCGTAAGTAATTATTGTAAAATTTACTTTGATAGCAACTGATTATTTGTTCAACAGCAATTTCCATATTGTTTTTTACTACTACTTTCATTTTATTGTTTATTTTTGTTCTAACGTTTCTCTGTAACAGGTGACTGAGAGAAATATGCGGATAAAGGATGCTATGCGCGACAATTGCAACTATAGCCTTGCACTAATATGGACCCGAATACTAGTCAGTTTAACAAGTTTTGTTGAATTGATATAGCTCGAAGCTTTTTTGTTAGAATTATTCTGCAATTCGTTTTGTTGTTTATTTTTCCGACTGAAAATCCACTTTAAGTGTGTTTCCTGGTAAGCAATACTATTATCATTATTGGTAATAGTGTCGCTTACCAGGAAAAGAGCAAAGTTTCACAGTCTGTAAAACTGTTAAATGTGTCTCTTAGCTTCAAAATACCAGAACTTAAACTCCATACCATTTTAAAAAAACTCCGTTTCGTATTTCTAGGCGGAAAGCAATGATTTGAAGACTCGAGGACTTTGTTTGGATGTCATTGCTTGTTACATCGATTGGATTGATTTGGAACTTGTTGTAAACAATACTACTACCCCATTTATTATTAGTAATTAACTACTCAGATTTTTTGATAAGTTTTTAAATATTCGTCTTTTATATTCATTGGGTAGATTTATCAAGATGATCTTTTAGATTGTCTAAAAAATGAATATACTTGTGAATCAGCAGTATCAGCTATCAGTGCAATGGTCACGAAAGGCATGGATGCCGAAAAGAAGCTTTTACTGACTGCATCGTTGTGTACTGTTTTGCATGAGAACGGATCATTTGATATGAAAGTAAGCATTTCCAAATAAATTTTAATCTCTCACACTAGGAATCAAAATTTTTTTGAGAAATAGCTTCCATTGTTCGTTTTCCATGAATGAAGTACAATAAAATATTTGCAGGAAAATGATATCGATGATGTTTTGAGAACTGGAGCTCTCATAAGCTCATTAGGCTGTGCTTTGATCGATTGTCATACATGGTATCTTTTTGATTGTGCAGTACACTTAGTTAATTTCAACTAGATATCCGGTAATCTTGGGAAGAAACGTAGTAGTTTGAAGATGCTTCATTTTTCTTATCTCATATACTTTGATGCAAGTTTTAAAACATTGAAAAATTTTTCGTGTCCCACAACAATATGTACGATATTTTTCAAGTGCAGCGGAAAGAGTAAAATCCGTGTGCAGCAAGTTAAATGAGCTAAATATGTTTTCTGTGTAAAACAGTTTTCAGCTTTAAAAAAGTTGGTAATATGGAAAAATCTGTGCAGTGTGAAGTGCTTCTCCAAGAACAGGCTGACATCGCTTTATTATGCTTTTCTAATGAGGTTTTTTATAATTATTTACATTCGTTATTCACATTTTTTATATTTCAGCTGATGTGCTTTTTATTTAGAACTGCGAAGTTTCAGAACATGGATGCATCTGAAACTGTTATCGAATTTCTGCGGCGTTATGTATGTGTTCTTAAAACCCAGGAATTTGAGAAACGTCACAATTTCACCAGTAGAATGATTTGTATAGCCATGGATAGGTTAACTTATTCGTTTTTAAACCACAAAAAAATTTAATTAGGTAGTTATGAAATTTGTGCTGGAATTTGTTATGTAACTTAACTTTATGAATACATGTACGTCGTGTTTCACGTTATATTGTTTGTTTATCGATGCTTGCCCTCACACATTCACATTTTGCTTAATTTTTTTTATTTTTACTTGCACTCGAGACAGCTAAGAAAATCAATTAAAATAGGATTCTGATATCCTTAACTCAACTTTTTACAATATTATGAAAAATTTTTATTTGTTCAGGTACAGAGCATCAAGTGATGTTGATTTGAGTAATACGGATGGTGAGGTTGTGGCTGAATTCATGGCATATAGAAGGCAACTTCGAAATATATTGTCAGCAGTTGGAAATTTTGTACGTTATTTTCTTATAATTTTGAGTTTGAGCTAATTAACTGATCGAGACATGAAGAAGAGAGAAAAAGAATTGAAGTAGTGAAATTAAAACTGATCTGAATAACTGCGAACAGTCACCAAAATGCAGAATATTTTGACGAAAAGCAGTTTTAATTGCTCTGATAACTTAAAATAGGTCCTAAATTATTAAATGGGAGCTTAAATTCATAGTATTCGGTATATGATTGTGATAAATACCGGTTTTTTTGTTCTTGGTCAATAGATGTTTTTGGTTATTTAATTTCTCTGACTCCAAAATTTAGGAACCGGAGTCAATATTGATGAAACTGGAGCCATCTGTGCGAAATGTATGTGAAAACTGGAGGCAGTGCCACATGAATGTTATTGAAGCTACCTTAGCACTAGTGTATGATCTTGCCGACTTCATACATGTATGTTATTTCGTATGCTTTGAGAAATTGGTAGTTTTGAATATCTAGAATTATATCCAAATAGAAAATGGCCTGTACTTATAAGATTGGAAACTGTTGTTTGTGTTATTTTAGTCTTTTTACACCTACTTGTATGATCTGATCCGATTTTACTCAAAACAACAAGACAACACGTATTAGTAGGACTGCTGCTAACAAAGTGGAACTTGTATAAGTCAAATGAATATAAACATTAAAAAAAATGTCTTTTACAGAAATGTTTTTTGCAGACAAATTTTGGAAGTAATAGTAGTTTGATTTCTGAGCGTGCAAGAAAATTGGCGATACAGGTTCGATATGATTTATTTTGTTTAAAAATTACTTGCTTTGTTTTGATTGCATGCGGGAAATATGATGAAATGTTTCTGTATATCATTCTTGCCGAAACTGCCCAGACACTTACATGTTACATTTAGATTCTACAAAGTACAATAAATCATTGTGGATTACCTTATATTAATACATTATTCTTCGAAATTGCTTGTCGTTATGAAAAGATCCTGCAAAATAATACCGGTTCACTGCTGATGATACTGGTTTGCATTTCAAATTTCAGTCATAGATACATATTAGCAATGAGTAATTGTGTATTTAATATATGACTCAAATAGTGACTGTTTTTCAGCTACTTGGATGTGCACATAGGTTTTTTGCTAATCTTACCTCAAATTCGCATAGGTACTAATCTTTAAACAATCATTTCTTAATTTTCTTTTCAGGAAGCATTTCTGGACACGCACGGTCTTCGCCAGACTTCGTTGCAGTCAAGAAGTCGCATTATATACTTATTTTGTCGTTTTGTAAAAGCACACAAGTAAGCAAAATTTTTTAATAAATAGTTCCTTTAAATTGCTTTCTCAACAAAAGGTTTTTCAGGTTTTTCTTAGGTAATCAAGCTGAAAATATTCTTGCACAGTTGGAGTCATTTTTCACAGTAACATCGGAAGAAGATTATCAACTCTCGAAAGAAGATCAGGTTTTTTTTCGTTTCCCAAGACTGCTCTTTGTATTATCATCTGGACTGTTGGACTGTTCATAAGTTTTGCTCCGTATGTGTCGTTTTTTGTCTGAGGATTACAATTTTAACGGCTAAATTATTTCATTTAGTCAGCTCAACAGTTAAATATGCAGTTTTAAGCATGTGAGAATCATTAACTGTTTCCAACTCTCAGATCTTTTATATCTTCATCGTCCATTAGGTATATTTAAATTTGTCTAGAATCACTGGGTTATTGATTTTGATCGGATTTTAGATGTACCTATATGAATCTACGTCAGTGCTAATTATTCACAGCAATCTACCTGTTGAAAGGAAACAAGAATGTATCAAAGTCCTCGGTTTTTCATTGCTCCAAAAATTCTCACGCATAACGGAAAGGTTATCACGAACAAAGAATGTGGATGAAATACAGCAACTTCATCAGCGATGTGCTGATATTATTGGTTACAGCGCGTGAGTTTTTGGTTTCAGATCAGTTTAGGAATGTGTTTTTGATAATTATACATATCAAAGAATTAACCATATTGAGATTATTCATATTTTCAGGCGTATTACTAAAGCATTTACAAATAACTACACCATGCAATGCTGTCAGTGCACTGTCATTTTTAATGAATTGATGAAAGTACGTTCGTCATCTGCTTGTCTTGTATCTCAATGTTTCCCGGACTCTTTTACGAAATCCGTTTTTTATTGATGATGAATGGATAGGGAGAAGCTACTGTAAAATGGAAATCTGGTTTTTAAACTGTATTGTGTTTTTTCAATTGGCTGTCAACATTCTCGATTACCAGAACAATAATAAGTTAATGTAATTCTCAGGTTTTTCTGGATAAAATAACTCCAGATAATGTGGAGGGGCTGGATGCATTACGGCAGTACCTTCATCGGATGGTCACTTGTCTTGACGGTGAAATACTAGCTATGTTACCAGCCATTTGCAACAAGTATCTTGACGTTGGCCCAAATCTTAAAGTGGTGCATGATTTTCTTATTTTATTGCAGCAAATTTTCGGCAAGTTCAAGGTGTTTTTTGTTGCATTTTTTGCTTCATTCTGAATCAAGTATCGCTTTTCTCTGCCCTCTACAAATTACTTATTCTTTCACCATTTGGAGTACTACTATGGGACTTTTTTATCAGGAGGGTAACAAATTCTATTTTTATTCAGAAACGTCTTTTGGAAATTGGCTTGAATATTCCCGCCTTGTTTGATATTTTATGGAGCGCACAAAGAATAGCATTCGACACATCCAATGAGAGCTGTGTTAGGGACATGATTTATTATAACCGAGCTTTTCTGCAAACAATCTTGAGCATCTTGACACACGACCTAATTGTTATGTTGACAGACTGCGGTAAGCAATCTTAAAAGTTCTTTTCTGTTAATTCATTTCCAATTTTATCTTCCTTAACCGTAGATAAGTGCAAATGCTAGTTTTTTATAATTTGAAGGTACCGAATTTCTCCACAAAGTAGCAAATTCACTCGTTTCTTTCATGAGTTTAAACGATGTACCAACACAACGGACTACATTTCAAATTATTAACAAATTATTTCTAAAGCTGTCGAACGATGGGTCAGCAGCAACTTTCATCGAGTTTTTATGGGAGAAGGCGGTTTATGGAGCGCTTCAGGTAGTTTTCCTACATATATGCACAAAAGATTATTTCGGAAAGAGCATTTAATGAGTCGTAATTCGATCCTAACGCGCAAAATTGTTCTGTCGGAGTAATTTTTTTAAGTCCATCTACAGTTTCCTGCGTCTTCAAAATATTTTATAAACATGACCTCGTCAGTACTGTTTGCAGACTCCACTTAGTGGATATCATGACCTTACAGATGCTCAATGTGTTTTGCTCCAGCACGAAATTTATGTATGTTTACAAACTCTACGATCTTATTCTTTGGAAAGGTGAGACGACCTGTTGATTTTCTGCTTTGATCTAAAATCAAAACATCTGAAGTTTGACACTGTAATCATGGATTCATTTTTGCAGGTTTGACCAGTATTTACAGTTGTTTCTCCCTGCAGATTTTGCCCGAAATTTTTGCCAATGTATATCTAGTTATAAGGTAAGTATCATTTATTGCAGAGCTCAAAACAGATTCCAGTGTAAATCTTTACAATCGACACACATACTTACAAGTGGGAAAATTTATAGGGTAAACAATTGGAAAAAGCGTTGGACATGCAGTATGCTCAGCTGAAGTTAATGAAAGCAGAAGGAATTGCATCATGAAGTAGGAAACAAATTTCTGAAATAATTTTACCAAATGCACATGTTGTTTTGTGGCGCAAAATCAGATCATAATGTTTATTTGATGAATTTATTCTGCAAAAAGCGAAAAGACTTTCTGGAATCTGATACGTGAGTTCTTGTCCCGTTAATCCTTCGCTGTTCATCCCTGAATATTATTCCAAATATTTTTGCCAAAAATTCATATTAAAAAAGTATAAAAGTCTCTTCGAATATACTCACCGGAAAGAATGCTTAACAGATAATTGAGAAGAAATGAAAATCAGGACAACGTCGTCCCCACGTATCAGAGAAAGTGGCAGATGACGGTGCCATAGTATTTTCGTTTTGCCTTTCCTATTCTCGCATTGGCTTTCAGAATACTGGTGTGGCGATGTTATCTGCATACTTTTGGTAACTCGACGTTTCATTCTTATAGTTGGCTTGAAACTCTCATCACCGTCTCTATATTACTTTGTTGATTTATACGTTTGCAAATCATTGAATGCTCACTAAACTTTGTCTATAATTGTATAATTTGGATTAAAGTTTTGATTCGTATTTACTTCTTTGGCAAAAATCATATTTTTGCAATCAAACACATTTCTGGGATTATGGAATGATGTTTCTGGGATATAGAGACGGTGTTTGGTTTCTGGAATCATGTTAATTGGGCAGCACGTGCAATTAAAGTTTTAAGAGAACATGAAAGTCTCATTTCATAGCTTTATGGCCAAACTTTTAAGGCTAGCGAAAGCTCGACATACAATCATATCTCGAAAGTCGGAAATCAGTAAAATTTGAGGTAAGAGGTTACGACTATATGGGAAGCTGGTGTAGAGTTCTCGGCAAGTCCGTGCCAGTGCATGACAAACCTTATCAGCAAATTCCAATGCTTATCAAACGCAACAACTTTAGCCTGAATGAATGAGTTCACACGATTCCGCCCTCGTAAACTAATACACACTGGATATCCTTGTTCCACACACTCTTCTAAACGTTTCATTGGTCCCTGCTCTGTTCGGGACAGATTACCATTCCATTTCTATAAGTAGGCAAGATACAAATCTTAGAGTTTGAAAGCTATAAAGTTAATTCTGATGTGAATAAATGATGTTACCTTATTGAGGTTTCTCCTTAATTCCTGAACAGGTTCGGTTATATCTCTTCCTCTTTGTGCACACATTTGTGATAGCCGAGCCTCCCTGATAAGTTTTGCCTCGTTTAATAAGAAATAAACATAACAGTCTAGAAAGGCGGCAATAAAATGAATAAAAGAGAGAAAGCCTTGACTGCTTAATCAAAATTTAGAAATGTAGCTTAACTTCATCATATGTGATAATTACGGTTTCACTCAACGAGCATATCAAGTAATAAATATACTTTGAATTGGAAGACTCTTATAAATTGATAACCAACAGTGGAAGAAAATTAGAAGAAATCATATACTAGAGTATTTAAAATGTTAGAATAGAAATATGGTTGATATTAAACTTGGCATATTCCTCCAAAAAGGCATGTATTAAAACGGTTACTAAGAAAAGATGAGCGGATAAAAAGCCATACCACTTCGGTTTGAAGTTCGCTTGGATGTCAACTAATCTGACATGTGCTAACCACTACAGTGGCGTTGCAAGGGAAGTATAACGAATGTAAGGTAACTTCTAACTCTCCAAAAGTTGTTATGTGAGTCTTCCTGGATTACTAGAGGTAAGGAAACTTTCACGTGCTAATTATCAACATTTCGATACTCAAACAGTTTTAAATATCCAACGCTGCTGACAAGCATTCTAAATCCTGATTTCGGTTTCTGCATCTAAACATCTAAATCCCTCAGCGTTCCTTTAAGTTTACACGATTTACCTGGAGAGTCCATTAAATGATTTCTTCTCCACAGTTTCCCGAAATTCCAGCTTTTGTAACTGTGTGACCAGTGCGACATTTGTATTCCATAAATGTTGTTCAAATTTATCAACTGATCCAAAATTTTTGACCTCGTCGAAGGGCAGTCTGAGACCATTTAAAACCAATTCAGCATTAAAATTCGACGAAAAGAAATTAATACTGGTTGCCATCCTACAACAACACAGTAGGAGAATAAATACCCTACTTTTTCACTAACAAAATTACAGTTGAACAAAAATTGTCTGAATAGTAAAACGGTCCTACTGAGGCGATATTAAAAAGTTCTTAGGTTCAAAATTTTCAGAAATTCTACAAATATTAAACCCACAGATCTAACAACCGTCTTTCTCCTTCACATTCCTGTATTCCACTGACTTTATTCAAAAAGGTTAAAATAAAGGCACCGTGAGATCCAAAATAGCTGTCATCGCCATGGATCGCGTCGGGAGATATTTTCAAAGTTAAACTAATGGGTAAATAAGAGGTACACCTGTGTTCATCAATGGGTACAAGCTAGTCTTCCTGTATGATATATTTTTAAATTTGCTTGATCGCTTACGATAATTGCAAAAATCACTTCAACAAACTTGACACAGGCTTCCTTACACTATCTCATGCTGAATAAGATAGTAAACAAGTAATCCACAACGGTTTGCAAATTTGCCAGATCTGCACGTGAGTCACGTACCAATAACTTCATTAATCATCCAACTGCTAACAAATCCGATCTAATACCAACGATGTGTATCTGTTTCCCACCGATACTTCCCTATCTGGAGAGTTCATTTTCTACATTGAATCAATGGAAATAGTTTAAGAAATTTTGAACACCTTAAAGTTCAATTATTTGACCTGAATAATAGTAAAATATACTCTTGTACATAATGCGGAATGCTTTATACTCCATATCTACATATTATTTCTGAACAGGCGCACTTTGATACAGAGAACTTAATATTAAAAATGTACACTTTTTCCTTCTCGAACAAAAACTAAAACGAGACAACGAACAAGTTAAAAGATGGACAAAATGGCCAAATTAGATCAGTTTGAGATTAGAATACTGTGTATGTGTTTGTGGGTGTGTGTAAGGGGCCAGCAAAATGGAAAAAAATAAGACGCGTACACTGTTCGGACCTGTACAGAAATATTGTACAATCTGTAGGAAGGAACTTTTCATATTTAAAAATAAAATTTAGAATTTAAAAAATGAACCAATAAATTCTATCCAATTTTTGTAATGGCAATACAATGCCAAACAAAACAGGACAACATTACATACATTTCTATACGACACATAACATTCGTAAAAGAGTGTTCTAGCAGCACATTTAAAAAAGTTACAGAGGAAAGCACCGCAAAGAAATATTAAATGAATGGGAAAAGGACGAAAAGAGGGGAAAGGTTAGCAGTAAAGAGAATGCTTTGAGTTCAAGGCATTTACTGAACAACTTATTTTAGGAAGACGGTAAAGAACCGAACTACAGCATAGCGCAAGAAAGTGCACAGATTGAATGGAACAGGCCTTTCAAAAAGATTACAGATCTGTGTTCTCCAAAAACAAAGTTAGAAAACAAAAAACGAAACGAATATATTGAAATTCTGATCATGTCGAAAGTTCATGAAATTTATTTTCGATGAATTGAGTGTTATTCCCACTCGAATATTGGGATAAATTACTTTAGGTCAGAACAGCTCAACAATATTCAAAGAAATCAAATTATTATAAAACTAATCAAAACTGTTCATCTTAGTAGTAGCTATTCACTGTAATAGAGGCACCACCACAAATGCAGCAGAAAGACATGAAACCCGCGCTCAAATGAACATACACACAACAGGAAGCGACTATATGTTTCCATTTTATGATTTTGCGACAGCAAAATATTTTCTCTCCAATTTAATGTCCTATTAGTGAATTTGAAATTGAGATTAACTCAATATCAGAATCAATTAATTTAAAGATTTTCAACATCCCCTTAAATAAATGCAAACCTCGCTGGCTTAAAAAAACTAGAGAAATGTCGCTCCATATAAAAATGGAAAGTAAAGACATCATGAAAAAGACAAAAAATCTTAACTCTAATTCGGCTTACTGATGTTGATTGTAGTTTTCAAACTGCGCGGGTGACTGGCAGCAGATGCAAGCCATGTCATATGTGAAGGGACAGTATCATTGGAATCGACTGCTGAGCGATTTTTCATATCCATACTAAAAAACCATGGGTCACTCGGAAGAAGCCGATCCAAGACCGGTGTTACCAACGGTGCAGTACCTACCAGCCGGGAAATTGCATCAGTTTGGTGCGCCACAGGATTTTTGGTGCCCCAGTCATTTAAACGACTGATGACACTATCAGCCTGTGCACGCAGCTGCTCATCTTCTTCGTCCGATAATTCTGAAAAATTATCTGACTGTTTTTAATAACTTTGGATAAATTCCAGAAATACAAAAGGAAATAAATATCCACTATGATCGACCTTTCGTTGTTGCGATCCTTATGGTATTATCAGAGCTCTTCTGCATATTTGTTACATCTGATAAGCTTTTATATAGCAAATTATCTGAACGTGTCTACACAAAGTAAAAATACAATTATCTTTCTAGGCTTTTCAAGATAATCTTATAGCAAAATGCTGCGTGATCCAATTTTTAGCTAGACAGTCGCAAGAAAAAGTTGTATATTCAGCAAAGAGTAAAAGAAACAATTGAAAATTGTTCTTCGGGATTCAGATCTCGAAAAACTGCGATTATGTCCTGGCAGTGAGTGGAGTGGATGAATGATCGAGAAATAGTAATACAACATTATTGGTGTACTCTTATAACGGGGATATCTACACTCAAAATCTTCATGTCGTTGAAAATTTGTAATCAGTAAATATGCATAATAAATTGTTAGACTTCAATTTCCAATGATGGTATTTATTTGCCGACTAATATCTGGTCTAGAAAGGATAAAACCTAAGGTGACTACTATTACCGTATACTGGAATTACTTATATCATTACTGCTTTTGGTTCACAGCAGCTATTTTACAGCAAATCAAGGAACAAAATATGGGATTACAGAACTCGGATGAAAAAGTGGTATTGAGAAAACAAACCCCGACAAATCAAAAGCGATTATTATCAAAAAAGAGTAAATCACCTGAATTAGGTGAAAATTGTGCGTTAGAACTGACAGTCGTTGAGATCGAATTTCCGGGGTTACAAGATGTATATGAATTTTTAATCACAGATTTTGGAATAATAATAGTCATTTTTCGGTTGTGATCCACTCCTGTCGTTCGCTTGTGTCGGTTAAGTCGATTAACATCGTTATTTCCAAGTGTCATTTTCAGCCTATCCATTTCATGTGGTGCACTTTTCGATACATGGTTCACTACTGGTTGTTCTGAATCAACCACATGCTCTTCCCCATTTCGACCGAGCCGAATTTTCAACTTTGGAACCTTCAGAGGGGGTTCTCGTTCTTCATCAATTTCATCTTAAATTTAAACAATACAAAACATAAAAACTAGTAAAAAATCTGGTGAAACATTAGAAAACGAAAAATACAGGAATGTGCTGACTATTTTTTGGTGTTATATGCAGAGATATATGATTTGTTCGCGGATCCGTCACTGATACAATATTATTTTTACGCGTTATACGCATAAGAATGCGTGGATGAGGTGTGTCATCACGATGAGAGGCAGCATCTTCCGATTTCATATCCTCCAATCCCGAACAACTCGGCAATAAACCATTTGCCTGAATATAGAGTTTTTAGTATTTAAGCCGCCATAAAATTATTAATTTTAAAATTTCTATGGAAAAAATTTAAGCCATAATCGATAACTGTTGCTGCTTTGCTAATTAATAGGTCGAATCAGATTTTCGACCTATTAATTAGCAAAGCATTTTCCATTTTCCATTTTCCATATAATCTTGATCATTATTTAAAATGTTGAGAGGTTTTTCCAAAGAGAGAGTATATTCCAGAACATATAAAAATAAAAAAGCAGAGGTACAAACCTCTTCACTGCAAGTCTTCATGGGATCACAGTGTTTCCTCTTCTTCTTTTTCTTCTTTTTTTCCTTATTTTTCTTGCTACTGCTTTTGTTCAAACAGTTTTTCAAATTGGCATCAGTTAATGCGATTTTTATTCGGATTGGCGGTCTTTCAAGCTTTTCAGCCTAAACAATTATTTTAGATCCGAAGCGTTCTCCATCCACGAAAATACCATTCGCTTTAATGGCGTCTTTCTGAATGATAGTCCGAGCATTTCACTCCAAATAATTCACGATAGAAGTTTGCTAAGTATTCAATTAAAACCGTTTAATCCACATAAAACTCAAAGAATTCTCCGAACAAAAAACTGACCTCTTCTTTATGTTCCAAAATTTTCGAGCTCTCATTGTCGCAGCTTCCTACCTCCGTCTCGCTAATTTTACTGCGATCTTCCACCGGAACACAGTTCTCGATGCCTTCCTTTTCTTCCGCAGTAATGGATGTTGAAACTCTCTCCAGCGTAGCTGCATGTGCTAAGGCAATGACAGCCTCCAGCTGTTCGGTTGATTTAATAGAAGGTACCGTGTTTTTTACAACAAACATTTGTTCAGGTAGATCATCAGTGACTGGCGAATACAATTCTTGATGCGAGCTTACTGAATCACTCTTCTCCCGTAAAGTGCAACAAGTAACTGTAGTGGGTAAATCGAGTGACGGATTTGAATCAGTCCAATCACTTGTAGCCAGGTTTTTCTGGAAATACATAGATCACTATTTTATCTTCTAAATTCAAGACAACTGCAGTAACAAAAATTTCATGAAGTTAACGAATTTTTCAATAGTAAGCATTTGGATAACATATGATAATCCATATTTTTCATTAGCTGGAAATTAACCTCGCCATTTGTTTTGGTAACATCTTCCTTTATATCGGGATCATTTGCACCTTCTGTATCACTTGTTATTGTAGTCTCTTTAAAAACCAGCACTTCATCAGTCAGATCGGAAAGCACCTTTTCTTCGTCATCAGAACCCGTGGACTTCGAAACTGGAGACTTTTCGCTGTCAGATGCTGTGAATGGACTAATAGTACGAGCAGCAATTTCACTCTCCGAGAAAGTATGATAATCAAAATGCAATTTTGGGATACTTTTCTGTACCAATTCTTTCCGACGTCCTTCTACATCCATTCCACTCATATGACTGCATATTGCAGAATTTGCAACGAATTCTTCTAAAAAGAAATTTTAATAGTCCAAGGGCTCAGTATAAAACTATGACGCAATAAAAAAAAACCTCACACTTCGCTTCAATAATTTTGCGATAGTTAAAATTTTTTTTCTACCTCTGCCACAGACAACCGCTATTCGTTTCTCCTCATCCAGCAGACGACGTTCATGTTCAGCATCAAGTGAAAGTAAAAGGCACTCATCTGCTTTACTATGTCCCTCCTGAAAATATTATAAGAAAATCTCGTGTCTAGTTTTCTCCTCGAGAGATAAACAAAACGTTGGAGAATTTCTAACGTCATTTCACAATTCGAAAATTGATAAGGAACTTCATTAAATTCATAATTTCTCGAACTTGGATTAACCTGACTCTTCAAATTCCACCTTTTATTGTTATTCTTCTGATGAATGTTCTACTCGTCACTGTAGTGAGAAAAACTCCAGAACGTACATCACATTAAACTTTAAAAAAATTAATCTCACTTTGCGCCTAAAACAACGTATTTTTCATCAAATGACAGCTGATTAACTGGCGGTTTTTGAACCTGAATAAAAGACAGAAAACTACAACCTACTTGTACGTCAGCGATCAAAATATCAATTTTTTAAAGAAAATTAACAAACCATGGATTCTTTAAACAGCACAGATCGCACTCGTTGCTCGACAATATGTCTCCTGTTATTTAAATGCACAAAATGTCGCAGGCAGTGATAATCAACTGAAACTGCGTAAAATTCAATGAAGTGAAACTAAAATAGTTTGAAGTGAGATTTCAAATGAGGATATACATTTTCTCTATTCGAGTTATTTTTGTAAAAACTCTCGTCATTAGAAACATACAAGTATCCAAAATTTCCGAATTAAAATCCGGTTCGGAATAGACGTGGAACGGAAGAAGGCGTTGAAGCGCATCAGAGAGATCATGAAAAGGCGATGACACGTCTGGATGTTCCACAGAATTATGTAGCGATAAAAAGTAATCGTTGATCCTGCAATTGTGGATGAAACAGGAAACAGTAAGAACAGGAATTTAAATAACTGCAGTTTTTATAAATTATGCTGTGCAACATTCCTGATCGATTTACCACGGATACGCAAAGAATGTAAAACTACAAGTTGGGTTACATAAAATTCTAGAAAAATAACATCAGCAATTGAATGAATTTGCTAGACATCGCAAACCTTCTGGTTCTTTCGGCTTTCTTCGTCGCAATACATGCAGCAGTTTCAGCAGACGATCTAAGATTTGGTGGCGGAAATAATGGTACCGGTGGAGGCGGTGGTTCGCAAGGCACCTCACGGACTACACGACGAGAGAGGTGCTGTTCCGGTTGCAAAATAACAGCCTGCGGCACAGTATTTGGCACTGAGTGGATATAATTTTCCCGTACTTGATTCTGTTGCACTGATGGTTGACTGACAACTGCTCGGTATGAACTATACTGTGTGGTCGACACCTTAAAAGTAACACCCATCTCAGTCATCAGGTTTAAGCAATCAATTCAGTGTTCGTAAAAAATCATAAAGTTATTGATGAAGACCGAATTTCAAATACCAAATTCAAATTTTTTTAATTTATGAAATCGTGATCAGCATCGAAAATACTTCATACCTGATGAATTTGACTATTATTACGAACACTGAATTGATTGCTCTGCACAGTTTCATGAGCCTGATTGTAATGAGCCGATATTTGGTATGAATTCTGGTAAGAAACCGGAACTCTTGCTGGTGTTGCTGCTTCATAATTCGGTTGCTGCTGCTGCTGCCGATGCGCTGATTGCTGTTGATGCTGTTGTTCGCAGCTTGTAGAAGGCTGCACTTGATGTACCACTATAGTTGCTTGTCCACTATTATGGTTGTTCCTGTTATGATTCTTTTGTCTAGTGTGAGCTGTCAAAGTCATCGGCTTGGGATTTACCACCGACAACAAATCCTTGTCTCTTAAATGCAAAACATAGCTGAATAATGTGAGCGCTGGAAAACGAAACAAGTAAAAAACACGGATAAGATTAGATAAAAATAAGAGTACATGTGTCGGGTTAAAACGAATTACAAAATAACATACTTATGCTGTTGCGCAAGAGCTTCAAAGAAGATTTGTGCTCGCTTATTTTCGAGTTCCTTTATTTCTGCTGAATGATCTACGTTATAAGCCGTTTGCTGAAAATAGTCCCAAATGAACAGAAATTTCTCAATTTTACAATACTATTCTACAAATGACAGAGAAGGCATTTAGCTTCGATTTTTTACTGACAACTGCTCTGTTAAATGATCGAATATAACAAAATTCCCAGTATCGTGGAAGCGAATCACACAGTGCACTAAAATGTACAAAGCTTACAATCCTAAACTGCTCTATTAAAATTTGAAACCTTACAAGATTTTGTAAGCGCGATATTTCTTTAGAAAGATTAGCCACCTGTTCGCTGTTCTGTACACTTAACCTCATTTCAATCCCATGCGACGGGGGTAACAACTGATTTATAGATGCATCAGTTGACGCAGCAGCAGCAAGTTTGTTTGCTTTTATCAGAACAGAGCCTAGAGTGCCACCCTGATTAGTGTTCTGAAAAACAAAAAAATCAAATTAATTATATTCTGAAAGTAAAACAAAACTGAATTTCTTCCTATAAAAAAATTTTCAGGAAAGTATTTTATAAAGAAATCTAATAATACAAAACAAAGCGCAATTAAAAAAGTTTAAGACCTTTCTGCGTCCATTTCGCGGTTGAGAATTCCGTTGTTTTTTGGTGGTTGCTGGGACTGATGTCACTGCCTGAACTGCTGTCTGCTTAAACAATAAAAAATGTGTAAATCATTTCTATCATCATCGTCATCATCATTATAAATGTTACGTGCGAGTGGAGAAAGTTTACAATACATTAGGTGCTATGTTACTAAGACTAGTCAAATCAGCACAATGCTTAATAAAAGCTGCATTCAAAATTTAGTCGGAGGACCTGAAAGAAGCCATTGGTGTCCCTAGAAAGAATCTACTTCATCTACTCACATTGTTCACAGCTAAAAACATCCTTTCTGTTAACATTTCCTTTATAAGAACTTACAACTTGTGAACGGGAAATAGCTGGTTGTGACAACAAATGCTGCATAACAGACTGGCCCTGTTGTGGTGCACCAGATGTAACGCCGACTGTAAGTGAACGAGGTATACGCGTCACGATTTGTTGTGGCTGTTGTTGCTGGATCTGATGATGCGGATGGTTCTGTATCACATGTTGCGTTGCAACAGTCGCAGATTGACCAGTGTTAACTGTTTGTCCATTTCCTATAGGATGTGCAATCAACTGCGACTGCGAAACTTGCCCTTGCGACAAGTTCTGACTATTCCCTGCTGGTTGAGTTTGTGGTCGACAGAAATTTGGTACTACAGCTATAACTGTTCCTGCGCTAGTTTGAACATGCTGCACTTGAGCCTGCACAAACCACTGTCCGTTAACAGCTTGGACACAACCGGGTGGGTGTTGTTGAGGTTGAATAACCGCTCCTGAATATGAATTAAAACCAGAAATTAAACTATGAAAAGTTTAAATGAAATGAAACTCTTTAAAAATCGAACTTCTTATGACAGTGCTCAGCAATATCAATCGCTAATAAACTTGGAAGAACAAAAATCAGTTAAGTCAAGATCTATGAGATTCAGGTTGACATAAAAAAGGCTAGTATACCACAGAAGAAAAAATCCATCTTATACTGAAACCATAAGCAAATACATACTTTTCTCCCTTTGTTCAAGTTCCACAAACGATGCGAAATCTCCATTTTGATGAAGACCCGAAACGGATGGTTGAGTAAACTGCAATTCTGCTGGTTTGGTAATCAGAAGTGGAGAGCTTGAGGGTATCGAAAGCACGCTCAAATCTGGATTTAGTTCATATTCAACACTGGTGAGCTCGGATGATTGGACCTGCGGTGGGGGATGCAAAATAGGCTGCGATGAACCAGAAGGTACTGAAGGAATACGGCTATTACTTAAAGTGATGAAAGTTTGCTGCTCCGCTGACACTGGGGACAGTTTCGGTGGAGGTTCAGAAGGGTAAGGTTCGCGGGTCGGGATATGGCTAAGTGGTGATGGACAGGACCGCGTTGATACAGTAAGGCCAAAATCGGTTGCTCCACTTGTAGGAGGACTACTACATTTCAATGTTTCATCTTCGAGACCCAACTGCAGCCATTCATCTTCATAATGCCTGCAAAATGAATTTTTTCATCTATTGTTTATTAGTAGCGGAGTTTTTTTCCACTTATTTTTGACTATTAATCTCAGAAAAAAAGAAAAACAAACATTGACTATTAATCTCAGAAAAGAAAACAAGAAATCGAGCCTTGTCTTGATGTTTTCACGTGTAAAGTGAAAAAACTCCGAATTTGAGCATTTCATGGTACATTACGCTACTAATAAACACTTAATAGATGAACATTTTGTCAACAAGTACGCAGTAATTATGGGAAAGCAACTTACTCGGAAAGATCATCAAAAGGACGAAACCCGCTCGAAGACATCATATTCCTACGAATAGCGTAAGGAATCACTCTTTTCTTCACACATTTCCACTAAAGAAAATGAATATTAATAATAGTACTAATAAAATCAATTTTCCACAAATGTCGAAGCGAAAAAAATTAAGTTATCGAAAATTCAAACAGGTAAGCTCCTAAAAAATAAACTGGACTATATGAAGATTATTTTATGGTTTTTTCTGACATTGCAATTCCCAGTACTCCCAAACTCACTATCCACGTTACGTAGTTCGTTGTCGCACTCTGAAAATCAAAAAACCTGACCAGGAAATATAAGGCACTATTAATTCTCATTAAAATCAAACAGGTCAATGTTAGATTGCTTTGGAAAAAACATTGTCAATTAATGACACGAACAGTATTTAAAAAATACATTGACAAAGAGCAAAGAGACAACGAAAACACATTTATCATACTAAAAGAGTGATGAATACGGAATAATTGATAGACGTAAAATGAAACAAGACGGACTGCTAGAGCACGAGAAACATTAAAATTTCTCTCAATCAAGTAAATGCACATTACTCACAATTAATTTGATCCACTTGCTTTGTAACCAAAAAAAAACTGAGGAAGATGCTAACATTAATCTACCCCTATAAAGCATTTGCATTCCTACAGTAAGAACTAAAAAAAACATATGCTCATTCTCAATCCTGTTTGCTAAATTCACTCGATAAGAGTTAAAAAGAAAATGACCTAAACTGATCTTACGTTACCATAGTATTAATATCCCCTTTGACATCTGTCCTCTTTCACCACCGTCGCACTAGCACCAACCATATAACACAAGAGAGTGAATAATTTATATCATACTAAGGAGAATTTCAAAATGTTTTAAGAAATTCCCACCAACCTCTTCGAAGTATAGAACTTCTAACAAGGCTTGCAAAATTACACTCACTGTTTACTTCATCACTTACTCCTCAAATCTTGGAAATCTCCGCAGAATACCATCACTTTTGATGTAAACTGAAAAAATTGCAGCCCCACAATGCATTCGAAAATTTCGACATTGCAATAAGAAATGTATTCTTTACCACCGTAAACTTCTGTTGAAGACAAAATACCTGACAAACAATTAGATGATTATTTCAGAGCAACACTTATGCATTCCTCTGGACAAATAACGGATTATAAATGCTGATATTAATTCAAGAAATTATACTTTAAGACGGAAAATACACCAGTATTTCCACCAATGTTTCCAGGATACCGGACGCATGATCACTTAAATACTTTCGCAAGTCTTGCATCTTACTGTCATTGCACATAAATCACCATTTCCGGAAAGTATCAGATCATAAGCAATACATTCCCCAACCTGTTATGCATGACTTCCAGTTCTAATATCCGTTTAAATATGCATTACTAATTAATAAAAGAGCTTGGTTTAGACTGTAAAAAGTTATATGATCTGAACACTTGTCAAGGAATTCACCATTCCATATACGCGACACGGTAAATCAGGATATTTATACCTAACACTTTTACATAAAGTATCTTTATGTAAAAGGTGTTAGGATAAATATCCTGGTTTTACATAAATTTGACACAGAGAATGCTTGAAAGAATATTTCGTGCAAATCACCATCATGATGCATTAAGGAACAAAGTTCAGAAATAATCTGAAGATTAATAAAAGGCAAAATAAGCAGAAAAGAGGGTTAGATAAGTGATAACGACAAGCAGTAATTGTGAAACGATCAAGCTGTGTAACAGCGACGCACCATCCAGACATACTAGTTAACAGGGAGAAAGTATGCACTTCTGACGATCACAAGACTGGAAGATCGCATTTCAGTAAAGGTGAACCACGGGATAGTGACAAGATGGAAAATAATCACAACTACTCTGCTGATGAAGACAAGCTTCGATGATAATGACAGCACCTCCCTTAATTAATCGAAATTTTATTAACATACAACGCGACGCGCTCGTGACGCGTACCGAGACACTTTTTGGCGCGTCGCCAAGCAACCAATCTCACTCAATCGCTGCTACTCTGACCATTCATTCAAATTATATGTAAGTTGCGTGTGTTGCAGCACTATGCCCTACAATTAACCGGCCGGCGTGTGTAAGTGGCAGCGCACGTTAGCAATTAATTAGCAATTTCAGTAATAGAGTGTGTTCGGTGAAAAAAAACTGAAGCATGAAATTAACACTCTGATGACGTTCCATCTAAGTATATGTAACAGTGATCAATAAGACGACAAAGTAGCTAGTTCGAGATGGTACTGTCTTGCCATGTGTTGGTCTGTTGAAACCTGAATGAGAACACGCTAAATGGAATAATTTATCACTCACGGTGATAAGGCTTTCTTACGTAACCAATATTGAGTAGCATCATGTACCGTGATGGAATGGCTGTTTAGATCGGTATATTTGACAGTCGACTTTAAATCAACGAGTTCCTGGAGAAACAGGACAGGATTTAAACAAGGATTATGGCAACGTCGTGATAATGCTGAATGTGTATTCCAACATTTTTGAATAACTTCCCCGGAAGTTTCTTCTTCTTAGTTCGATTATGTTGTATTGCTCAACCACGCCAGTGCAAAAATTTGAGGCAGTAGTTCGTGTGATCACGGGAATTATGCTATGTCGGTGCGGAAATACTGACATAAATCTCGAATATTTCAATTTCAGCACTAACTTTCTAACTTTGTGTATGGCAGTCAGCCGGCTATACGCGAAGCTATTTTTTGTTGCATCACATAGTTGAAACTGCTCACAAGCCTTTCATGGTTGAAAACTGAGCAAAGAAGTAACTCATGGCGCACCTTTTTGCGCGGCAACTTCAAGAAAAAAAGGAAAGTATGGAAGGATGATGAGCAGAATCCCAGGTATCTTGTTGGTTATTGATATATGCTAATTCCACAGGACTGAAAATACCTAAAACGAAAGTAATTTCACCTAATCCAAGCTTTTTATTTACTTTGCATGTTCATTTAATGTCGTTTTTAATTTACATTGTCACGAGCCTTATTGACATAACAGAATGTCTACATATGACGGCATTGTTATATTTATCAGCCTACTGCAGCACGAGAGGTGCTTCCAATGAGAAAGCATTGCGGCAACTAAACGAACTCTACGAAATTGTAGATAATCCCAGATTTCATATACAAGATAATAAACACCAACGAAAAAAGTGTTTTTGTAAAGTATTTACTTTCAACATATTCTTGAGAAAGGAAATGCTTCGCAACGAAATGACGTGAGCTATGCGCAATGGATAAAGATGAAATATGACTTCAGAATCAACATGATTTAAAATGTGATTTCTGCTGTCTGCTACAACATATTACCGCGTTGCATCCCTTTTTTTATTCCTGACCTTTTCCACAATTCTGTAATGAAAAAAAGTAATCTATATGTACGTTAAAGAATCTACTCATATTTTACTATCCTTTTTATACACCTTGACTAATAAAATGAAACCAAATGTTCAGTGTAGAAATCACACTATGGAGCCCTAGAGCCCTATTAGTAAAAATCAGAATACGGACCAATTGTGTTTTATACCATTACCAATCAAAATTAATGGAAAAAATTCCGTTAATATGGAAAGAGCGCTCAATATTCATCTAGAACATAAATTATACATAATGTACAAATTAAATGGAAAGTTCGTTAACAGCAGTTTGAAGACACATGCAAAGACTTTTCCCAGGAATAAAGAAATACTTTATTCCTGGTAAAAGTATTTGTTTTCAATGATAAAAGATTGCAAACAATTAAATGAAAAAATAATGAATGACAGAAAATTTTTCGAAAATCGGTTTGCTATACGGGGGTAGGTGTTGCTGCTGCATCTTCATCGTCCACAAATTCCACATATGTAAACGGGAAAGTACCTCTTTTACCGTTCAAGATTCCTTCGCAAATACCAGACGGATGTAGCTTGGTTACTTTCAGCATATCACCTTTCTATAACGAAGACTAGTTACATTCATACTTTAGGCCAATAGGTTTTATTTCATATAAACTCTAAAATTTAGAACGGAAAATAGAACTATTACAATAAATGTAATGAGAATGTCCATAACGAGGTTTCGGTAGGCATGCAAACACCCAACATAATATGCAACGAGTAGTCAAAAAATACATTTTATTCTAACCATTAAAGTATTTCGTTCAATCAATCTTCTGAATAAGCTGTCAATAATTTTGGGAAAAAGAACCTTTAAGCGTAGTGCTTCTGTATCGTATACATTTGGTCGTCTATCCAGAATTACACGCGCTAGTGTTGGCATGTGTGGCTGTAATAAAATATGCTCATGAAACGTAAATGTTAGTAATGACAAATTTTACATATTTACATAATATTTACAGGACCTGAAGCTCTGAATAAATTTCACTTACGCACTAACCGTCTCAGAAAGTTGGGTATTGTTCAAGATATCATCATTAGTATCACTAAGAACTGATGCACCGCTTAAACGATTTTCTGATACTGAAGAATCTGGACTGTCTCTCTGCATTAGAACTTCATCAAGTTGTGCCTGGAATTAGAAAATACTTGCTGGAAACACGATAGAAACTGAAGTTGCATATAAAAATCAATGTATTGCTAAAGCATCTCTTACATGAAAACTAGCTGGAAGTCTCACCAAGTAATTTCCAGGCACAAGGCCAACATTACCCAAAGCATTACGAGCTTCCCACCACTCTTCCTGTGGTTTTTCGATTATATCAAGAATTTCATTTTTCTCAAATGAAAGATCTGTTGGTTCTTGTCCTTCAAATGAGTATAAAGCAATCATCTGAAATAACTGCACATAAAAGAACAAAAGAGAATGGAATTACATAACAAAAAAGGCAGGATAAAAAATAAGAGTATTTCATCTCTCATTATATGTTCTTTCATATGCGCCTACTCATATGTTTTTTATTTAATATACGTTCGTTACAACTACACTTTGAGCAAGATCAAAGAAGCTCATATACTAGCCAAAAAAAACCGGAAATAAAACCATACGCAATATGGACACATAATAATACTACTAAACAAAAAAATTTTATCTCAAAACTTCGTTTAATAACAAAAAAAAAAACAAGAGATATAATACACAAAAGAAAAGGGAGAGACGTACCCTATTAATTGCGGCTTTTCGGAGTGGACATACTAAACTTACATTCGCCAAAATTCTCATTTTGAAATGGTTGAGTAAGGCAGGAATGTCAACAAAGTACTGATCAGCTATCTGCAACACTAGTTATAAATTGTTGTTATTTGCACAGTATAAACAACACAATTTTAAGAAGGCAGAATTTTAATAAGCAGGAAGATCTATTGGTATCAAGCAAATTATTTACTCACTTTCACATTTGTCTTGCCATTATCCGCTTCAACGGGCTCAATGAGATAATGTCGAACCTGCTGATCACCGGACAGTTCTTCTCTACAACAGTGAAATCTGTACAATGTTATGGAACTGAAGTGAGAGTAGAATTTCGACCAAGTGACTGAAAAAATATTTGAAATGATCAAAACGCACCATATGAGGCTAAGGAAGACAAAAGTACCTGATGTTCCTACCTGACACTTAAAGCATAGCTTCCGGGAGTTGTTGAGTCTCTGATAAGAAATGTACCGAGATCAGAATCAGGCTGACACAGTAGCCGTGTTGCTTCCTCTCGATCAACGTGGAAATAGAAATTCCTCCAGGAGTAAGGATCGAACGAAGAGGACGACGACTCCCTCATCCTCGAAACATTCGCCACCACCACTTTTCCGTCTTCTCTAATTTCTCACGCACTTCTCGACGAAGCCCACGGTCCATAACTGGCCGTGATATGATAGAGACATTGTGCAAATTAATGCGAGCATTGTGGATTGTTCAAACATATCCACTTCCTGTGAGTGCTGAGAGTATATTCCATCTTAATCAGGATGGAATATGTGCATATAGAAAGCTTAGAATGTGGACCGGGTGGCAATTCGTTGAGTTTTGAAACGGCATATGAAGGATGTTGTTGTACGGGACCATGTACAGCAAGTACCGGCTGCACTTGTCTTCTCTACAATCAAGCAAGTCTTATTTACTTTGATGTAGGGTTCTAACAAACTCTTTTAGCATTTATTATTAGGATTTTAGAAATTTCTGGAATTTAATAAATGATATTTTCAATACATCAGAAAATGTGAAGGAAAAAAAGAGCTTTATTTTTACTTCGCGAATTCTCCCATGTACTGCTCCTCACTTTGATATATCAAAAAGGGAATCATAGACAGTCGGTATGTGTATATATCCATATGTTTTAATCCAAGAATTACAGTAAGCTTAGAGTAATCTATTGGGAAATTTTTAGGATATATTCAAGAATCAGAATTCCATTAAGAATGTTGACAACAGTTTGCCAATTCTGGAGTGTTTTGCTGAATGTTCTTGCTCCTTCTTTCCAGATAATTGTAAAAATAGATGCGTCCAGTTGGGCTCCTCACTTCCTCTTGAGGCTAGCTTTTCTCTCATTAATTTGAAAAAACTTCGGGCATCCTGTTTAAAGATAAAGCTTCTCGTAATTTTAGGTTTTTGATGCTGGCGAAAAAGGTTATGGATTACAGTGTAAAGAGCTGATTAAAAAAGGTCGCTTTGTTATTGAATACATTGGAGAAGTAATTGGGCCTGATGAAGTGAAAAAGCGCCAATCTGATACAAACTATGTTCTGACGATTAAGGAGATTTTCCGAGGTGATTAACTTCCTATTATGGTATTACAATGATTTCTCGTAAAAATTTTTCTTGTCTGCTCTTCTTTCTCTCTGTTCTTGCATTCTTTCGTTGCTGTTACTGCAATTCTAACTTGAAAAGAAATGAAAATACTTCAACTTCACTTTATCTCCTGTCTTCCTTTTTATCGTCGTCACTATGTAGCGATTTCATTTATTCTAATGCGACTAACATGTTGTATTAATTGATGAATGAATTTAGATCATACTGAAGTGACGTATATCGATCCGTCGACACGTGGAAATCAATCACGATTTATAAATCATGGTTGTAATCCTAATTTGGCAATGATTCTTGTGAGATACGGTACTCCACAGGTACACGTTGGGCTCTTTGCGCTTCGTGATATACCTGCTTATGAAGAGCTAACCTACGATTATGGTGCTAATAGTTCGGAATTTTGCCTGAAGAAATGTTTGTGTGGCAGTACGAATTGCCGATTATTTCTTCCTGCTTCTATTTCATAACACATCACGCGGCCATTATGTGCCTTTTTCTTCGGTAATCAGTTTTTAAATTCATTTTTGCGTGATATCAGTCACTACATAATAAATTATAGCACAATTGAGATTGAACAGTTTCACTTAAGTTTAATTACGCTACTGTTAGTTTTCAAAAAATAGGAAGTTTCTTTCTGCACACAGCAATAAAGCAGTTCTTAGTGAAAACGTCACCAAAGAAGTAGAAAAGTTATAAAGGTGAGTTAAGAAGTTAGGTATATTCGTAAACTTTTGGAATTCTCAGGTTTCATTTTATGGTCAGTGTTATCGGATTTTAATTTGTTTTGATCAAAAAATAAATATTTTTGGAACAGAAAAAAGTAAATTCACATCATTAATCATCATTAATCACTTTTTCACTTTACGAGACCAAAATTTTTGTACATGAACAGTTGTCATATTTACAAAGCTCTAGGATATGCTTTTAGATATATGATTTTATAAATATTGACAAATAAAAATAAGTCGCAGGAGAGTTGTGGTAAAATTCAAGCTTTGAGAAGCCCGTAATATGCGGAAATATATAGTGTCATTTTCGTAGGGATGCCCATTAGCTTCTCAATTGAAATGGTGATCAGTTAGGTCAAATTCCAAAATTAAAACACCTAGTTCACAAATTTATGTGAGCATGTAAAGAAAAGTCATAACTAAAACCAATATGAGAAGCATATGTACCCTCCCAGTAAAGCAATCCTAAATTTCTTTGGTTTTTCTTAAATTATTATCTTTTCTTATCATTGTTCCATTTCTTAAAATTTATTCTACTGTTCTCTTTATGTCCTTAATCATGAAAAGCAAAAGTCAGTAACAGAATGGAAAGAAATGTGGTAAATTGAAAAATCGGGGAATTAAAAAAGTTCCATTTTGGATACTAGTGCAGTACGTTATGGGCTACAATCCGTATGATATGTTGTGTAATTCAATGTCTTGAAGTTTTTTTTTTTCTATCTACAGCGTCATAAATAGAATTTGATGGTCTTTATTAACAATGAAACATTTACCAATTGATATAAACAATTTTTGGATTTGTATAAAGAGACTGGAAATGTGCTTGCAGGAAGGAAATTTCATGCTAAAAAAATAACCTGTTAATTTTATGATGCATATGGAATGAAAGGTGTATGATTGGAAAGACTTATTTAACGTGATGAAAAGAAATGCGAAAAATATGTTAATTAGCGCAAATGTGGGACGGAGATTGTTTGTTGGGAAATTATAGCCCTGCTATCATCAACTATTCCACAACTAACTGCGCAGCAAATAATGATGATATCAGCTTGCAATAACTACCATCTAACACTAGAAATTAGCTATATGGAAGCTTACCCTATATAAATGCTACAACAATGGACCTGCCGAATTATAAACTCTTTTCAGCTCAGCAGTCCTCGCATTTGATCCTTCCATTGATTTTATTTATTAACACAAAGATTTTTGTAATTAATGGGTTGTTACAAATTTTAAATGTTTGTTTACATAAAATTCTAAGGAGTTTTTGAAAATTTGACTTCATTTTTCTGAAAAATCATGACAAATTATAATATTGATATATAACAAGCAGTATTTACTGAATTTTTACTCAATTTTGGAAGAAAAGTAATTTAAAATAAAAATTTAAATTATTTGAACAAACCGTTTGAAATGTCGAAGGAAAAACGAAAGCTTTGCTTTATTCAGATAATTTTTTCAGCAATATTAACTACAAAAAAGTTCTTGATGAAATTGTTCATAGTTTTATTGATCACTGTGAAAATAATCACCGGTGAAACGAAATCAGAAACAATCGTACCTGCAGCATTCCCGTCACCAACATCCTTTCTGAATAAGCATGCTTCACCAATACCTGTTGAAATTACTCCCATACCTGCTGATGATTTTAGCCCAAGATTTGATGGTTTGAATTCAAAGATTCTACTTTGATATATTTTAAAAATATTATCATACCGAAAAGAAATAGTTTTTAATTCCATAAAAATATCTTTCAACTCTATTCTGTGCAACATTTTAGCAATATTCAAATTTCTGAAAACGATTACGTGATTTAGTTTCAGCAATACGTTTTGTAGTTTGTATAACATTATACTTTTTTTATCACAAAATTTTTCCTTGACTGACAGCATTATTAAGGTAAGATTCCTTTCAAACATTTATAACTTTCATACTCATACATAAGCAGTTCCACTGATTTTTCCCATCTTAACTCATGTTTCTGCTCAAATAAATTAGTTTTTATGATGGTTCCAGGCATTATTTCGAGAGAAAAAAAAACACTTTTAAGCAAGAGTTAACTTTCTACTTATAATTCAATTACATAAATTTCACCGATCAATTCTATCACTTCTAGTCTCATTATTATTAATTACAGATTATATCAATTCAAGTTTTTCTTGTTCAGAATTTAGACGTATCGATACAAACGGTGATCAGCAAATTACATTTGCCGAATTTATATTAGCTGATCGGCCATACATTGAGGATAAATCGCGGTTGTACCACAAACAAGATTTAAATGGTATTTATTTCTAAAATATCTCTTTGTTCCGATTTTTTTTTAACGAATTAAAAAATTTGAAGCTTTTTTATCGGTAAAAATTTTTCCTATTGAAATGGATCTTATATTAATAAGCCTGCTGATGATATTGCCTGTTACCTTAGGTCTTAATTAACCAAATGTATAATAATTTATTTTAATACCGATATCATTTGTCAAAGTTAAAATATCAGTCTTACTTGGCTAAACATTAGGTGATGGTATTGTGAGTAAAAGTGAATTCGCTTCGTATTATCGGAAAAGAGAAGAAGAGCGTCGACTGAGGGAACAGCAAGCGGAAAATTTTTTCAAACAATTGGTGAGTTTTTGTAAAAACTTTATTTTTCTAGTATTGAAAATTAATGGTATAATTTGTGTAAAATATTGGAATTAAATATACTAAATTAATGAATCTCATTGTAGGAAGTACCATTCACTCAACCATTCGGTTTCGGATTCCCACACAATCCATTCTTCCCATCAAATAGTCCACCTATTCAAGGTACGATGCGCAATACTTCTTCGCTGGCAGTGTCGCTAGTTAATGAAAACGGCAATGGCACTTTGCAATCCTTGCTTTGATAGCTTTATTTGTGAAATTTAATTTATTATACGGTTGTGTATTATCATGACGTTATTTCCTTGTAGATTCTTTTGACCCTCAATTCTTGTTTTTTTCTCTTTCACTAACTTTATATTTCTTTTCATGCTTTCTCAATTTTCGCATAGAGAACATATACTTGGAAAACATCAATTTCATTATAAGAAACATGGTGAAGTAATTTTCCCCGTAGATTGCGACTCCACTTCTTATAAATTCTTTCTTATAAATTAGCATGCCTATAGCAAACATTAAAAGTGTTTAATACTGTAATTTATAATAAAACAAAGCTACCTTGAAAAGTTAGTGTTAATAGAAGACTTAATCCAGAGAAGTCAATTGAAAAAATAAAACTAAAAACTTTCATAAAGTTTATTATGTTGTTCAAGAGAAGCTTGCTAGAGTAGTACAATATACAACTTTAGAATAAATACATTAGCTTCAATTTCGGATATGATGATACTCTGACTAATTTACCAGTAGTCTAATTGTCTTCTCGGATAAAAGACTCAAAAGTAGTATCTGATGTTTATTGGGGCGATTGCAACGGAAACCGATGTTTCACTTCGCGTAGGATAAATCATAGAAGATGGCGGAAGGTCCTCAAATTCTTGTTAGAATCGATCTGTAAACTATTCTGTCACCATACACCTTCAATGTTCCAAAAAACCAATTTTGAATCAGTCTATTTTCATCACTGATAGAAAATTTCTTTCTATTTTCAATCTTGCATATTTCAAAAAAAATATTTTAAATACTTCTGTTCATTAAAAAAATCAATAATAATGGGAGCGGGATTTCTAAAAAAATTCCGCTCCCATAAATTGTTGAATAAATTGTGATCACCCTACCTGTTATGGTTTTTTCAATGATCAGTAAAATTTAAAAAATAAATAACTATCTTCAAATAAATCTGAAACAAAATCAGAATACAAAACAATACCTGTAATTTGGGAGCATTACATTAATTCTGATCAACTGATCAGAAAAGTCTAACTTATCAGTTTTATGGGGAACCATTGAGAAGTTAATAAATGTAGATAAATCGTTTAAAACCGGTCAAGTAAATGGGACGAGCAATTGTAATTACATAGATTTATGTAAAATGCGCAATCTAAAAAAAAATTGATAGCTATTCGCATGAAAATTTCGGGAATAAATGATATTTTTATTTTTTAACATTTAATATTTGATCCATTTATTCACTCGTCTATTATATGACTGAGCAAAATTAATATTTCCAGATAAAGAACATTATTATTTATAGCATACAAATTATTTAAAATATTTGCCTTCGAAAGTACATATCAAATCCATTTCTGCAGTTTTTATACAAATTATAATCACAAAAATATTTTTATCTTCTTCATTCGGAAATTTAAGTGAATCGCCGATGTCTCGTACTGTTGAATATGTAATCATAAATTTTTAAATTTCTGCATTATTAAAGTCATCCATGTCATTTAATCATGACTCAATACGCAACACCTTGCGCAAAAATTATGATTTGCTGAGTCAGACGAATTAAGGCAGCCATCAATCGTTTCATTGAGTTTGCTCGATTCCTAAAAAATAATGATATATGCGTTAGGAAATAAGAAATCTAGACAGCATTCGATTTGTAGTTTGAATCTATCAGATTGACTAACAATCCATGGAATATGGGAAGATCGACAAATAAATCAACGAAACGAGAGGATCAGTGTTCGACAACAAGACCGGAAAGCTACCAGTTAACAAGCAAATAGGACTGAAACAGTTAGAAAGGTAGAAATAATCAAATAAATTATTACAAGAAATAAACTTTCTATTGTTTTTATACTAGATCTGCGTATCTGTTAAAAAAGTTTTCATATAAGAAAAAAGTTTAATCCTTACCGAAGAGCTGACACAATTTTCTTTCATTTTTGCATTCATTTTTAAATTTACTAAGAATTCTAAATTTTTTGATTTAGCTGTATTGATGAAAATAAACATATTTACAAAAAAATTGCATTCTCAAATCTTCTTTCTACGACATTGCATTTTTTTATTCTGATGCCCCTTATGTTGTGCAAATTTCTCACAGATAAATAAATTCAACAAGTTACATGTTTTAAACTACTTTTTTCTGTTTTGTATGTCTTCTAAATTTAATTTTCACAATTCGGCTTATCAAAATTTTAAAAAATATTTATGAAAATAAGAAATGTATTAAATTAATTTTGCAAGGAAGCCACAGAAAAAAAGAAGTGTATGAACATAAACTGAAACTTTAATTTCTTTTCATTTTTATTTTTTGACGAGGGAAAAAAAATGAAAGAGAAAAGAAATAAAGAGGGTTTTGTTACTTCGTTAAAGTGTCTTCTCTCTTAAATTGTTCAATGCAAGCGTTTAACACACTTGGAATACTGTAGATTCTATACATCACTAAATAAGTTCAATTTAAGCTGATGATCGTCCGTTGCTTCTCAACATACCCTGATTTTAAAAATCTTAATTTCTTAACATATGTCAACTTCTTTTCTTCCCCTATTATTTGTTTCTTCTTCCTTGCTAATTCATATTTTCTATAAATTTACTCTTAAACAGAATCTACGGTTCTGTTTAATATTTATTTGATATTTTATTTTGTCTACAAGTTTATTAAATTTAATAATTTTCTTCAAGCATTTTAAAGTTAACAGTATAATTGGGGAAAAAACATAAAAAACAATGAAACTTCACCAATTTCTTTCTCAATTATAGATTTGATGTAAGCTTTCATGTATGTGTTATGAAATTTGGTTAAAACATTTAATTCCTATGACAAGTCTCGGAAATGGCAAAAAACAATTTATCGTCAAAACAGATTTAACTTAACTTGACAAAGCATGTTACTGTTAGTCTAACTAATATGATAATTCCAAGGCGACCGTACAAAATCATATAAGCACATTTCAAAACAAAACAAATCAACACGATTCCTTAAGCAATAATTACAACTATGTGATTATTCACTGATTAATTCTCATTGTCAATTAAATCAAAACGGATAAGCTTTTAGATTACTAAATCAAAATGTTGTGACAGCATCATTTAATGGGATTCATCTACGCTCCTCCATGGCCTAACACTCAGTTGCCAGTCTTCTTGCCTCTTTGTTAAACCTTATTTGTCGAAATTTGCTTTTGGTGAGCTAACATAAAGAAGCATTGAGTTCTTCCATATTATAATTTCTTGGCTGATAATCCATACTGGTATGTCATCATGTTGCCTCCCAGCTAGTGCTTTAAAATTTGTTGCTTTTCCACTTTCTTTTAATAAGACATTTTATCTTCAACTGCGTAAGCTTTCCATTAACTACACCATCACCATATTCGTCGCACATACTTGGATTTTTTTCAAAATATAAGATCACACTTCTTCTTTCACTTTTTTAAGACAATTTGACATCAATTATCAAATGAATTTGAAAGTTCTGAAATTAAATCTTAATACTCATTTTACCAAACGATTGAGAAGATTAGTACGAAGACTTCTATCGTTTCTGATTACTGCGAAATTTTTGTTAGTGCAAATTATATTGAATTCAGTTAGTGATTGTTAGTTTCAAGTTATTTCGAAACTTTTGTCATCACTTGAATGATATTCAGAAGAAAAAAGTTCTTTCTGTTATCTTTGCGCGCATTACGCTATTTGACTTACTCCAACACTGTTTGACATTTCACTCCTGTTTAAATATAAAATATTTTTATGAAATTTTTTAACTTGTTTTGTCGTGAATGATATCACTTGCGATTCTCTTTTTTTTAGCTTAATATATTTATATGGCTAATGTGCTTAAATGACCCTAAGAATAGCAAGTAATAAATAATCATTGAAATATATAATAGCATCAACCAGAAAATACTGTTTATCTTCAAGTCGTTCCTTAAGAGCAAATTTCTAGTTCTGTAAATTTAGTTTAAAAAATGCTCCCGTAATATTGCAATTGTTTAAGTTTGAATTAGACATGGTATTTTGTTTGAATATAGAATTGATCAAGCTTAGGAATAATTCCTTTGGACTTTAAGAGTCTGAATGTTTAACGGGTTATATTTGCAATATAGATGTGTTGATTTCAATTTATTTTGAGTTTCATTAATTAGGTAGCAACTTTTAGTGGATGATGGCATAAGAAGTTTTCATTAAGATTTTAGCCTTCATGACATTATTTCTACCAACTGCTGAAAATTTTGATTCCAATGATAAGATTCGTGTCTATACTGGTTCGAGTGCACGCATATGTAACAAATTTTTTTCCGAAAATTAAATTTTTTGTTCTAGAATATAATATTGCAGAATAGCGCATCTTTCCTAAGTATGAATAAATTAAGTTTACACAATACACAAGCAAAAAATTTTGATTAAATTAAAGCAAAATGAAGTGAAATCTGCTGTTTAAATATGAAAATTCATTTGGATGGCTCTTTTTTGTAAAATTTCAGGAATTTTTTTTGGATGAAAATTTTTCTTTTGTCTAGAATTTAATAGTCAGATTAACAAACTGGACTTTTCTTTTTTCCTTGTCGTGACATTGCCATCTTTGTCATCTCTTCTTTTTCGGAAAAAAAAAACTTATTGCTAATTCAAGTAAAGTTAATGTTATGTATTATTTCTGTCTCAAGCAGAAATTAATTTTGTGTCATAATTAAAAAGAAAAGCAATTGATGCACATTGCGACATTTCTTTGTAGAATTATAAAATTCATCCAGAAAAAAAATGAATATTTTATTAAATGACTTGCTTTTTATCATTCTTAACGAAACAAATTCGGCAAAACTTTGAACTATAATAAGAGGAGCAGATAAATAACAATTGTTTGATGATGATGTGATAATATGATCATGTATGACCAAGGCCTATTTCTCTGAATTCAGAGCCTTAACCAACTTTTCCACCCCTTTTTGAGTTTTCAAGAATCCCAATTGGTGCACAGCCAACGCTTTGCTTTGCCTCATCAAACTCCAATCGAATGTTGGCCATATTTAACTCTCACATGCAATTCTTCCACTCCACCATCCTATCATTTTCTCTAATCCTCTAATTTGTTGTTTGGCAGAAAAAAGAGAAACGAATTTTTAGATTGATTTGTTTCATTCTAACGTTGTTATAAATTATTTGTGAAACAAATATACATTATCTTATCTCATGAAGCATAATTCGAAAATTTCTTCTAATTTATAAAGAAGCTAGTTTGGAGCAAGTTGGATGTAAATCAAATCAATTTCATTTGTTCCTTACGAAATCTCTTCCTTTTACTTTCATTTCTCTTATTTTCAGCCTAAAATACTTGAATCAAAGCAGCTTGGCAGCAACTTGAAATAAAGAATGGATGACCTAAAGTTATGTATTCTGTGACCTAAAAGAAACTGCAAAACTTCTATTATTCGCTCATTATTTAAAAATATCAAGTAGTCTATATGTTCAAAAAAATTTAGTTACAACAATTCGTCTTTTTATCAAGTTTTGTATACCGATCATCACTTACTGTATATTGAGTTAAAATTTTTTTGCTTAAAAAGTAATTTTATTTGCAACATTTAAACTGAGATTCTTTTGCAGAGTTTCGAGAATGTTGCTTGACGTTTATAAAAATTAAACGGTTAAAATAGAACATAAGTAATGAAATGAATTTTTTTCTTTCTTAGGTTTTCTTTTTTACGGATGATGAAAACTTGAAAGTAAAATTGAATTTTGAACCGAGAGGTAATTATTTATAAAACTATGCATAAAATTAAACCTTTAAGGAAGAAAATTTAGTTTCTCTTATGTTGTTGATATTCTAAAAGTTAAGAAATGACGCTGGAGACTTAGCTTGTTTAAAAGAATTTGTCAATTAAGAGCGAAGTGTGCATTCAGTCATCTAACCGTCGATGCATCTGAAATGAAAGAAAGAGATTCCCCACAAAACAATAAATCTAATCTTTTCCTTGTCGTGGCTTTGTCATCTTTGTCATCTCCTCTT